TTAAAATCATGGTGTCCTGCTGACTCCTGTAGGCCCAAACATCTCATTGACAGTGAATTACATCCAGAAATTAAATGTGGACAAGCACCTCCCATTAAAGGAGAGCCGTTTTATACTTTAAGACAGACTGACGTACCTAACTAATACATGTTTTATGAAATGTCGGTTGCGTCTCAAATAAAATGCACTGAAATGTTCTAAAAACTCGTTAAGAATTAATGATAATCTATGCTACATCACCCAACAAACGTATATTAAATAAAATTAGATATAGAACAGTTGTAATGCATTTGCCTCATGGTGCATGGGAATGAATATCTGACAAATCATTCCTCCCGATTGGTGTACCTTTACGTTGTTTGGGGACTTTGCGTGTTGGTGGGAAAGTATTTCACAAATTTCTTCCAGAGTCGCAGGTATGTCGCAGGTATGTCGCCTCGATTGAAAGCTTCGCTTGTAGAGAGGCATCTTCAATCTTCTTGTTGCGATGTACTCGATGGGGAACTTAACCCCCCCTTACACCGACTATGAGTCCCTGTTGCATGCACACAGTTATAACAATTGTAAAAAAATGTACAAATTATGAAAATATTAAGGCATATAATTTAGGAAAATGAATTTTAGGTCTTGATTAACATTAACTAGCACGTAGTTGGTATTAAAGGACATGTGGCGGAACAATCTCCAGACACCTTGTCACTATATATTCTAACAGAAGTTTTAAAAGGATTAAAAGGTGAAAACAGGTATGTTAATATGGTAATATAATAATGATTTGGATCTTATATATGTATTCCTAATTTACTCACTTGGTCTCTGTTCATCTTGTTTCAAGTACAAAAAGTCAGAATTCATTCAAACGGTCTTACATACACTGTTACCTTAGTACTGGGCAGTAGCAGTCAAGTGGCGGGGCAATCCCAAACAGCCTGACAATTACACTAGACAGTGAACTTATCGGGATGATCCTTCCAGTGGGTGTTCAGTCTGGTTTTGAAGCTATTCACAGAGTTTGCTGTAACACGATTGTTCCACGAATTAATTACGTGGTTGGAGAATGTATTTTGCAGGTATTGAGCCGAAACGGTCTTGTATACAGTTTACTCCTGTTCTCTCTCGTGGCTTTGTATCCTGGTTGTACAAACATCCAAACCAGTCAGGTTAATGGTTAGAGACCAGACAACTAGTTACCACACAGAAATAAAGGTCACCCAAACCAGTCAGGTTAATGGTCAGAGACCAGACAACTAGTTACCACACAGAAATAAAGGTCACCCAAACCAGTCAGGTTAATGGTCAGAGACCTCACAATTAGTTACCACACAGAAATAAAGGTCACCCAAACCAGTCAGGTTAATGGTCAGAAATAAAGGTCACCCAAACCACAGGTTAATGGTCAGAGACCTCACAATTAGTTACCACACAGAAATAAAGGTCACCCAAACAGAGACAGTCACACAGGTTAATGGTCAGAGACCTCACAATTAGTTACCACACAGAAATAAAGGTCACCCAAACCAGTCAGGTTAATGGTCAGAGACCTCACAATTAGTTACCACACAGAAATAAAGGTCACCCAAACCAGTCAGGTTAATGGTCAGAGACCTCACAATTAGTTACCACACAGAAATAAAGGTCACCCACAAAATAAAGGTCACCAGTCACCCAAACCAGTCAGGTTAATGGTCAGAGACCTCACAATTAGTTACCACACAGAAATAAAGGTCACCCAAACCAGTCAGGTTAATGGTCAGAGACCTCACAACTAGTTACCACACAGAAATAAAGGTCACCCAAACAAGTCAGGTTAATGTTTAGAGACCAGACAACTAGTTACCACACAGAAATAAAGGTCACCCAAACCAGTCAGGTTAATGGTCAGAGACCTCACAATTAGTTACCACACAGAAATAAAGGTCACCCAAACCAGTCAGTCAGAGACCTCACAATTAGTTACCACACAGAAATAAAGGTCACCCAAACCAGTCAGGTTAATGGTCAGAGACCTCACAATTAGTTACCACACAGAAATAAAGGCCGCCCAAACCAGTCAGGTTAATGGTCAGAGACCTCACAATTAGTTACCACACAGAAATAAAGGTCACCCAAACCAGTCAGGTTAATGGTCAGAGACCTCACAATTAGTTACCACACAGAAATAAAGGTCACCCAAACCAGTCAGGTTAATGGTCAGAGACCTCACAATTAGTTACCACACAGAAATAAAGGTTCACCACACAGAACACAGAAATAAAGGTCACCCAAACCAGTCAGGTTAATGGTCAGAGACCTCACAATTAGTTACCACACAGAAATAAAGGTCACCCAAACCAGTCAGGTTAATGGTTAGAGACCAGACAACTAGTTACCACACAGAAATAAAGGTCACCCAAACGAGTCAGGTTAATGGTCAGAGACCTCACAATTAGTTACCACACAGAAATAAAGGTCACCCAAACCAGTCAGGTTAATGGTCAGAGACCTCACAATTAGTTACCACACAGAAATAAAGGTCACCCAAACCAGTCAGGTTAATGGTCAGGACCTTCAGGTTAATGGTCAGAGACCTCACAATTAGTTACCACACAGAAATAAAGGTCACCCAAACCAGTCAGGTTAATGGTCAGAGACCTCACAATTAGTTACCACACAGAAATAAAGGTCACCCAAACCAGTCAGGTTAATGGTCAGAGACCTCACAATTAGTTACCACACAGAAATAAAGGTCACCCAAACCAGTCAGGTTAATGGTCACACAGAGACCTCACAATTAGTTACCACACAGAAATAAAGGTCACCCAAACCAGTCAGGTTAATGGTCAGAGACCTCACAATTAGTTACCACACAGAAATAAAGGTCACCCAAACCAGTCAGGTTAATGGTCAGAGACCTCACAATTAGTTACCACACAGAAATAAAGGTCACCCAAACCAGTCAGGTTAATGGTCAGAGACCAGACAACTAGTTACCACACAGAAATAAAGGTCACCCAAACCAGTCAGGTTAATGGTCAGAGACCTCACAATTAGTTACCACACAGAAATAAAGGTCACCCAAACCAGTCAGGTTAATGGTCAGAGACCTCACAATTAGTTACCACACAGAAATAAAGGTCACCCAAACCAGTCAGGTTAATGGTCAGAGACCTCACAATTAGTTACCACACAGAAATAAAGGTCACCCAAACCAGTCAGGTTAATGGTCAGAGACCTCACAATTAGTTACCACACAGAAATAAAGGTCACCCAAACCAGTCAGGTTAATGGTCAGAGACCTCACAATTAGTTACCACACAGAAATAAAGGTCACCCAAACCAGTCAGGTTAATGGTCAGAGACCTCACAATTAGTTACCACACAGAAATAAAGGTCACCCAAACCAGTCAGGTTAATGGTCAGAGACCTCACAATTAGTTACCACACAGAAATAAAGGTCACCCAAACCAGTCAGGTTAATGGTCAGAGACCTCACAATTAGTTACCACACAGAAATAAAGGTCACCCAAACCAGTCAGGTTAATGGTCAGAGACCTCACAATTAGTTACCACACAGAAATAAAGGTCACCCAAACCAGTCAGGTTAATGGTCAGAGACCTCACAATTAGTTACCACACAGAAATAAAGGTCACCCAAACCAGTCAGGTTAATGGTCAGAGACCTCACAATTAGTTACCACACAGAAATAAAGGTCACCCAAACCAGTCAGGTTAATGGTCAGAGACCTCACAACTAGTTACCACACAGAAATAAAGGTCACCCAAACCAGTCAGGTTAATGGTCAGAGACCTCACAATTAGTTACCACACAGAAATAAAGGTCACCCAAACCAGTCAGGTTAATGGTCAGAGACCTCACAATTAGTTACCACACAGAAATAAAGGTCACCCAAACCAGTCAGGTTAATGGTCAGAGACCTCACAATTAGTTACCACACAGAAATAAAGGTCACCCAAACCAGTCAGGTTAATGGTCAGAGACCTCACAATTAGTTACCACACAGAAATAAAGGTCACCCAAACCAGTCAGGTTAATGGTCAGAGACCTCACAATTAGTTACCACACAGAAATAAAGGTCACCCAAACCAGTCAGGTTAATGGTCAGAGACCAACAATTACCACACAGAAATAAAGGTCACCCAAACCAGTCAGGTTAATGGTTTGAAATAAAGGTCACCCAAACCAGTCAGGTTAATGGTCAGAGACCTCACAATTAGTTACCACACAGAAATAAAGGTCACCCAAACCAGTCAGGTTAATGGTCAGAGACCAGACAACTAGTTACCACACAGAAATAAAGGTCACCCAAACCAGTCAGGTTAATGGTAAGAGACCAAACAAATAGTTACCACACAGAAATAAAGGTCACCCAAACCAGTCAGGTTAATGGTCAGAGACCTCACAATTAGTTACCACACAGAAATAAAGGTCACCCAAACCAGTCAGGTTAATGTTATGGTCAGAGACCTACCACTAGTTACCACACAGTGGTCAGAACATAGTTACCACACAGAAATAAAGGTCTTTACTTTTAACACATTGTTTTGCTTGGTGGACAAATGTTATGACATAATGGGTTGATGGCAGTTTCCACAATTTAGATATGATAAATCGGAAAATACATGACTATTTTTTTATTTTTGGAAATAAAGTGACAAATGTCTTCGACATGTATATCGCTGAGAGAAAAAATATGTCCCAAAATGTAGACAAGGGGTATCTTTACAGCACTTAAAGACATTTAGTGTTAAAAAAAGTAAATTACATGCCCTGTGGACCTTTTACTTTCATATTTTCATATTTACTGGAAAGGGAATTACATGATCTGGTATATTTTAATGTCTCTGGAATACTGCAAGGTTGAAAACATCGAAGTGAGGTGAATTTGGGTACTTCGCCCTATTACGACGTTTGTTTCGGTTTTTGACGTCCTCGTGGGCACTAGACTGTCATTGGCGGATTTTCAATTCAAGTGGTATGTTATGGAACACGGGCAAAATGGCGGCGTATTAATTCGAAAGGAGTTAGTAGACATGTGGCTGGTTGTTCACGCACACTAGCTTCAGACCAGGTAAAACGAAGATGATTGTATACATTTTGGTTACATAGGTACACAGGAATACCTATTTATAGCATAGATTTGTAATAATTGTTGCGTTTCACGTCATGTCACAAGTGATGATCAGATGTTGTTTTTCCGACGTTGGACGGACTGGTGCAAGATAAGCTAAGAGTGAACAGAGAAGTATATATTCTGTCTCTGTGTATAGTCTCGCTACCATTGTGATACGAAGTGTACACCCGTGAAGATGAATGCACTCATTATAAGAGCATTAACAGGAGATGTCACGTCGACTGCATTCTCTTGTTTTGATTTTGTAGAAAACTGACACAGTAGAGAGTACGTGCAGATTGTCGCACGGATATACACATCTTTGCTTGGATTTGAAATACAGAAGTACATTGTAACATTTTCGCTTTCTTTTTTATATTGATAAAGCTATGGCAAGTGCGAGGAACAAAAATGGAACAGGCACTGAAAAGGATTGTACAGATGAGGATGAAGACTTCATGTTGTCCATGGACCAGTGGGATGTTGTGGATGAAGCATCCGGATCAGATGAAGACACAGGTAACCGGGTCAATGAGGCGGTGAATAATGGACAGGTAGAGCTTAATCAGGAAGTTCAAGGTGATCAAGATGACTGCGATGTGATCACTGAAGAATCCAATGAGAACAAAGAAGACAATGATGAAATTGATGATGACCAAGTTCATGTGTTGGAGGATGAAGCTGATAATGTTAAAGACAGCTTGTCAACTGATCACGAAGAAAGCGCTACTTGTACAGAGTCTAGAAATCTCAGTTTAGAGAAGAATAACAATGATAACAACGGTGATACAGCTGTGTCTGGAGACTTGAAAGGTGAAAAATTAAACTTTACTTCCTTCTAGGTATTATAAATACAATTATTAGCTACACTTCAATTTTCTAGAGATGCTAATTATATAAAGCTCACATGGTCTAAAGGACCAAGCAAGGTGAGCTTGTGCTGTACTTTGGTATACAGCATTATTCATTATATTAACTTGATAACTCCCTGCAATGAATAAGAATTTATAAGAAAATATTTCATCAGATATAACTGGAAGGGAATAGAATTATACAGCCAGGGGAACTGAGAGGAAAACTATGCATTAGATTAACTTCTCTAGGACTTTTTAAAGGGGTGACAAGTTTATTATTGGACAGCATTTTACAGTGATAATATTTCACATATTTACTCAGGAGGGGTGGATGGTTCAGATGTTAGGAAGTATTCTCACATAGAGTTTTACTCATGATAGAAAGTCCCTAGAGCACTTTGAGAGATTGTCATAAGGACCATATCTTAGGCCAAGAAATGTATACAAAACAACAATGCTCCTTGGATAGTTTTCACAGAGTGTGGTTCAACTTCTGAGGACTGATAATTAACTCCACATAATTCCATTTTATGACATGGGAAGGTTGTGTAATTTTCACTACTTACAATAACTTGGCATGAAATACAAATACAATCATGTAACATGATGAAGTATACAGGTCCAGCCCTACTATTTGCGATATTACTGTCAACTAAAGCACTTTACTGTGTTTATATCAGTATTGTTGGAGATTTAATACTTTTACCCTATGTTTACAGAACCAAGTGAGTCATCAGTTTTGGTATCTAACTTCAGTCTATGGCCAGAGTTTACGGTAACTTTACAGGATATTGACGAGAAAACTGGCCAGTCTCGAGGACAAGAGTCCACAATCACATCCTCTGTAAAATCTGCTGTTGAGGAAAACCCCGAAAATCTGAAAGGGAGTTCTTCAGTTGTTGATTTCCAGGAGAATGCACCTGCTAGAGAAAAGTTGAAGGCTGAAACTGAAAAAGCTGCAGAAGATGAACTACTTAAAGGAAGTGAACCAGAAGATGAACTACTTAAAGGAAGTGAACCAGAAGATGAACTACTTAAAGGAAGTGAACCAGAAGATGAACTACTTAAAGGAAGTGAACCAGAACTGTGTAATGAGGTCATTGCAGAAAAACAAAATGTCGCTGGTGATCTCATTTCTGATGGTTTAGAAAATTGTGTTGAGGCTAATGAAGACACTGAAGGGAAAGATGCAGTCAGTATTGAAGACAGAAAAACAGATAATGGTGAAGAGAGTATGGAAGTAGTAAGTGAGATGATAGAAGAAGGGATGGAATTAGAAATGGAAGAGACGAAATTGAGTTCTTCAGAGAGATTTCGGAATGTAAAACAGAGGGAAAAGGAAGGATCTCACGTGGATGATAAACAAGATGATAAAAAAGAAGAAATTCAGCCATCAAAAGAAAAGGAAGAAGACAAAATTGTGGAAGTTGAAATCCAAAATGATGAGAATGATGCACAGGAAGATCATGAAAACAATACAAATAGAGATGAAGTTGGAGGAATGGCAAAAGAGAATGAAGAAAAGATGGAGGAAATGGAGGATGGAGGTGAACCCGAGAAAAGAATGTCTGGAGATGAAGTGGTTGAAGATGGAGAAACAGAAGAGAATTTGCAGGAAGATGGTGATGAGGAAGACAATAAAGAGCATGGTACAAATATCGATGTAAACAGTGTGAAGAAGGATGTAGAAATTGTAGGTAAAGCAGTTAGAGTAGAAGTGGTCCAGCCCAAGGACAAACTTCCAAAAACCGTACCAAAAGTCAAGCCTCGTAAGAAACCTACCACCAGCACAGAAGTCAAGGTTGGGGTGAAGAATGTTCAGCCTCCTAGGGCTGATGGCAAGCCACCCATTAAGGCTGAGGCAACTCACAGCTCACATGTTTTAGGTAATGTTAAATTCTTTTTACACTGTTTGTCCCTGTTCATCACTAACAGTGTGTGTTCAATGTTCTATATTCCTGGACAGCTATAAGCGTATATATTATAAATTAGCTGCTCTACTTAGTAATAAAGGATCATGAGATATGGTTATAAATATAATTGTAGCATTCTCAAGCCCATGTGATTAATATTTTTACTGTCATCACTGTCGACAAACATTAAAAAGTAAGATTCATAGCTGATCAGACTTTATCAATTTTGTCCACATATGATTATATTTTTTTTTGTGTTTCCAGATTTGAAGATGACCAGTGTAACTGTGGACGATCTGGGATCCAGAGATATGATTATCATCCTTAAAAGTGCTATACACTTCAGTGTAGACTTTCCTGGACATCCTAATGGTGTTAAAGGAATAGGGTAAGTCGCTCTGTAATGTCATCCGGTATCGGTGAAGGCAAATTTGGACATGATTCTCATCCAAAGAATACCTGTCCCTGCGTACATCAGTACAGATTGTACTGGTGTTTATGATATATGATGGTAGGGTAGTAATTAGTAGAAAACAAACCACCTGTATGATAGTATTAAAGGGAATAGGAGCGTTACATTATATGGTGGTAGGGTGATAATTAGTAGAAAACAAACCACATGTCTTTGCATTTATTCAGTTGAGTCATTCATTTTCTATTTTCTTTTTTCTTTCTGTTTTATTTTTGAGAGTCAAGAGAACAGATCTGAAAGTCATTTGAAATCACTAGATCTTGAAAGAAACATGAACACTCTTCAGGGGTTGAAGTGACATGTAACCTGTGTTGCCGAAAGAGGCATATGACCATTGTAAATAGCAATTTTCGTACTGTTCGTGTTTCATCCATGTGTAAGTTTAAATTCGTGTACAAGCAGTTACAACACAAATTTGATGGAACCCTGTTATCCTTATATACAAGAGAAAAGACAAATCTGGTATACATGAAGATATTTGTAGATCTTGTTAAATTCAAACTTTCTAACATTCATTGGTCTGTCACTTTGTGATACGGATCCAGATTGAGGTTACGTGTGCACAAAATAATTATCCATCATTATCACTACGGGGATGGAGGCACAACGTCCCTGAGAGTACAATTCGGTGAAAATCCCGATGAACTGGCCGTTGATCCAATAGTACACACAAGGTTTCACTAAAAATCCAGGTAATGAGTACAAAGGAGTGAGTCCAACACAGTAGTTCTTCTGTATACTTGATGTTAATTGTGGGTTGTTGTTAAAAACACTCCACAATGAACATCAAGTATACAGAAGAATTATCATGTTGGACTTGTTCCTTTGTTCTCATTATCCATCATTATGTTAGTATGTATAGTAATAAAAATGTGTTGTTTTAATATTTATGGCTTCCTGTGAATTTCAGCACTGTGACGGCTACCATATCCCTGGACAGGAGACACACAAGTATAAAGTACTTAATGAAAAATCTAGCTGGTCTTTACTATGAAGGCGTCAAGTTTCCAGACCTGCGACAGAAGTATTTAGAATGTATTGGTAAGCTTTTAAAGTCTTTGTTTCATGTTTCATATTTGGAAGTTGAATGATAGTTATCGAAAGAGAATGGATTGAAAAAAATAACACTCAACATGTGTGAATGAATAGCCAAATTGATATTTACTTTAGTGAGCTTCAGAAACTACAAATTTGTAATGTTGGATTTCTGTTTCTTTTCAGCAAAGGAATGTAGAGGAATGAACCTGCAAGGTAAACATTTGATTAGGATAAAGTTTTAGTGATTTTGCCCTGGCACTGTTCTTGCTGTGCTTCAGAGTTCTTACATTGATTTTTTACTGTTAGCTGTGTACAGGTGGACACAGCATGTAGCTTTAATGTACTGTATAACATTGTTATTACAAAGGTGACTTTGTTAACACACAATATTTTACACTGTTGTTAAAGTGCTGTACACTCACGTCGCACTATGTAAGAAATTCTCCCAAAAGAGGATATGTAACAAATCAGTTTTTATATTTGTGTAACATATTTTGGGACTTTGTAATAACAAAGTTCTACTGTTCAATATCTGAGTCCATGCCGTGACTTTCTCAAACTGTTAGTAGTGTGATGTTGAGTTTATGTCGTGTTTTTCATTGGAAGGATCCAATACTCTGTATTATGTACCATGTACCTCTATCTTCTCTCATGGACTCCGTGATTATGATGCTGAGGCTTCAGTAATCATGTTCACTCTTAGCATACCATACATACCTGGTAAGCACATGTATCACAAGTTGATAACGCTGCTATATTCCTGTGAATGTGTGGTTATTTACATTATAACAGAAGTTAGGCTTGCTTTCTCGGAATCACTGTGATTATATGTATTTTCTTTTTTTTTTTTTAATTTGGGATAAGATCTAGACTGAATTTGGAGAGGCTATTTCAGGGGAAATGTCTCTCTTGTAAAATCTGATTTTGTAATTAACTTAATTGTTGGAAATCCTGCAGTGGAATATGTGGACTGTGTGTGATGTGTTGTGAATCAGGATTTGTGTCGTGGATACAGAGGTGCAATCAGTGAGATAATCTAATGGATGATCATAGCGATTCCTTTTCAAGGGAGATGTTTTTCATAATTTCAGGTTTTCGTGTTAATTCACAACTTGGACTGTTACTGTCAAGGGTGGCGAAATTGTCCAGAACCCATGTTGTATTTGCTTATCATTCACAGGTATACACCCAAAGCAATATTCTCTGTTTGCTTACCAACTTCCAAAATACACATCACGAGAAAAACTCAAAAAAGTTTTTCCTAACTACAAAAGATCGTTCCTAGCGTATACAAGAAAAGGTATTGGGTAAGTTTGATGGTAGTCAGGATGAAAGGTAAGTTAAAAAAATCTATTGTGTATGGGAAAAACTTTTGCGTCTGTTGTTGAAATTCTGGCATGGGTCAGAATGTTCAAAATGTACATAAAATAAAATGATCTTGTAAGGTATATTGCATGCCTCTGATGTATATAAAGGTAGTTTCTGATGTGTACATTGATTTGTTTCATTAATTATATAGACATTCTATTAACAGATGAGGTTTGATACAAAGGATTGTTCAAACCATTGTGTTCACGTGATGGATAGATAAGAAAGTATTGTAACATAACTGTTATACCCTCATAACAACAATATTTTATGTTACTGCAAGATGTTCATAACTTTTCATAAATTACCAGTCAGACAAGAAAAATCTCCAGTTTGAGAAATTTACAAAGAACCAACATCCTGCTGAGTTCATGTGTATGTTAAGGTTCTAGGCTTTATATACATCCAAACGTAGAAAATAACCTACGCTAACATTTTAAACAAAAAAATAGCAGAGCAAACAAAGAATGGCTGTTAAACCAATTTTGTGACAAATTTTTAAGATGTTGATAAATATTGACCTGTCCTGTTTACACCAAGACAGAAATCTAATGACTGAATTCATCTTCAAATATCACCAATTCAATGTAACAATACAATTTAGTCAACATAACGTGCAACCGTTTACAATGAAACATGAAGTTACAAAACAGTAAACAATGCAGTATAAAAAGTAACCAACAGAATAGTGTTGGTATGTCCATGTGTTCTGAGAAGTATATTTATCTCCATGGTGACAACTTTATATTCATCTCCATGATGACAACTTCATGCGTCATGGTGTTGATCTGTTTGGGTTGCTTTACAGTCGTCCTCAGAACTCAAATGTGCGATTTCCATGCTTTATACAGGTGGGCTGTGCTACAGTTCAGGACGAAGGAGGAGACCTTGAGGATCCTGGAATCTACATGTGGTGAAATTACATTAGAGAGAAAGGCTCTGCCTACATTTCTTAGTCCTGTCTCTCTTCGTACAGGTAACATACTCTAGGTTGCTATGGAAACTATGATCGATGTCACAAGCACAATTTAGTGTGTTAACCATGTACTAGTTTATTATACACTAGAAAGAGAGGACATGTTCAACTATTTGCTTGATAATAAGACATGTTAAAAAGTAAATTAAAACACTGAGGTAATTATGTGATCAGATTTCAGCAATCCTATGCTTACCTCTGTTGAGAGGACAGTTACTATGTTTAGTTCATAAGACATTCCAAGTAACTCTCGCTGTATTGTCTAATCAGGGCTGTCCTGTAGAATGAGATAACATTTACTTAATTTCATTTGTGAAATGTTAGCAATTATTGTTTTGTTTTTATTAAGTGTAAAGCTTGTTCAGATAAGATCGACTCTCTTTAAGATGAAAGCAAAACAGTAATGTTGGAGTAATGCAGCATACTTTTTCAGAGGAGCTGACCAGTCCGGATTTCAAGGCGTGGTTTTTTGACTCGAGATTCAACCCTGGTAGGTAACATCTGATGAGATCTAGGCTCTTTACTTTGATGTAGATGTTAATGAAAAAATTTGATTATTTGAAAAGCCAAGATTTGTTAGTACATGTATCTATGAACATTTCTGGGAGGAATGGTATATGAATTACTCTCTATCTCTTCATTTTTTCTTGGGTAAAATGATGTGCCAATATGTGATTGGTCTATAGTTGTTTACAACATCTTGAGGCTCCTGTGCAAATTAAAACGGTCACCATCTGGTATTGTACCAGACAGAAACAGTAGATTATTTAATGTTACTGGTTTATAAAAATAAGCTCTTGACTCATTGTTCATGTATATTGTTAATTACTGAAGTTAAAAGTCTTTCCTTTTTATGATTCGTTTCAGGAGGGAGAAGTTGGGGACCAAGAATGGGGAGAGATAGATCTAGAGAAAATGTTATACAAGAAGAAGCCCGTGACACAAAGCACAAAGAAAAGTTGTTACAAACAAAGGAAAAACTGTCTTCCAAGCAGCAGATAGACACAACGCAAACCAGAGATGACAAACCGCAGATAGAAAATGTAGGAAGCATGCAGGCAATGGATATAAGTCCTCTGACAGCGAAATTATCCACAATTGTTTCTGACAGGAAGATCGGACAGAGTACAGGACAACCCAGTGTTAGGTGTCTAATCTCTGTCCTTCCAACTGTTGAAAGTCAGGAAACAGCATCGACCAGTGTTAAAGGTCAGGCATATGTGTCACCTGTTATAGAAATTAAGACATCACCATCTTCTGAAGTCAAAGGTGAGACAGCTACAGCATCTAAGATCAAAAGTCTGCCTTCTACAACTACTGTCAAGGCGAAAGTTCAGGTAGCTACATCTTCTGCCACCTCCAAAGCAAAAGGACAGATTTCTAAAACTCCTAATGTCAAAAGTGAAGTACCTACTGGTGTCAAAAAACAAAATACTACCATTACTGTGATCCAGAATAAGAAAGAAACAGGACCTCAAAGTGAACCCCAAACTAACATGCAACCCACAGTCAGCCAGAATGTATCAAATGCATCATTGGCGTTACAGACTTTAGATGACAAGACTTGTGACAAATCAGCAGTATCAGGTACAGATACTGAGGCTTTGACAATAAAATCAGAAAATGTTCTGCTCTCAGAATCTAATTTAAAATTAGAAGAGGAAGTTTCTATACAAATAGAAGAGGAACAGGTGAATGAGGGTGCGCAGGATGCAGGAGAACAACAGGCTGATGAGAAACTTGATGGTGGTGTGGTTGATTTGAATACAACAGGGAAAGATGATGTAGAACTTGGAACAGAGGGGACAGAAGGTGTAGAGGATCCCGATACTGAGGAGAATGAGGATATGGATGAAACAGGGGAAGAGGAAGTGATAGGAATCGATACAAATGAAAACAAGGATGATGATGATACAGGAGAAAATGAGGAAGTGGAAGATGAGGATGCTGTAGAACTGGACCTAGAGGAAGATGAGGAGGTTTTGGAAATTGAAGTAGGGGAAGATAAAGTTGTTGAAGGGGATGCAAAGGTAGAAGAGGAGGTTGTGGAACTTGACGAAATGAAAGAGGAAGAAGCTATTGAATTGGATGAAGAAGATCAGGATGTTGTGGAATTGGGTGAAGGACAGGAAGAAGATGTCCTAGAAGAAGAGAACACTGTAGATGATACAGAGGAAAATGAGAACGTAGAAGGAGAAAAGGAAGACGAGAATGCAGCAGAAAAACAGGCTGTTGAGGACAAGCACACTGTTCAAGTAGCAAGGCAGTCCACAACTGAACCTATCAAATCCTCAAGAAAAGGGAAAACATCCTTGATTAAAAGTTCAGTCAAAAGCCCTTTGAAGAAGCATGTTTCCAGGAAAGCAAAATCAGGATTAGTGAAAGGTGAAGGTGACATGTATGACAATGTATCACCCTATGACAGCATATCTCCATACGACAGTATCTCTAGTGATTCCGAACATGACGGCCTCAACAAAAAGGAATCACCCAGGAAGAAAAAAGTGATGGAGGATAATAACTTGGATACACAGCTTGATAATGACAGTATATCCAGTGATTCTCTCCCACCTGAGGACTTGAAAAAGAGCAGCAAGGGAGGATGGGATTACATACGGGGAGTGTGGGACTCAGTCAGTGGTGAATCTGTGAGCAGTGTTAACAGTGAGTTAAGTGACATCAGCTCCAAGGACAGCAAAAGCAGGAGGCACAAGAATGTTAAGAAAATGGAGTCTGATGATGACTGGGACAACTCCTCTCTCAGTAATGTTTCTGATGCTGGTTAGTGTACATTTACATTTTTCCTTTTGTAATTTGTACTCATCTTTCTTGTCCAGTGAGGTATGTTGGTTTATGGTTGTTAATACTGTATAAAATTGATACTTCAAGGTTAATGGTTAAATTACATAAACAGTGAATCAGAAAGGGAAACTTTTCTTAATTGATTTTTTTCCATTGTAGAGAGTGAGGGACATCGACATATATCTTCACGCAAAGTAAGTACATGTATTCTGTATTATAAATGAATATTCACTGAAGTTCATATTGCATATGTTCAAAGATTCATTGTACTGTACAACATCTGTTCATTGTATCGTACATCCAAAGTGATCAGAAATCAAATGTATTGGAAATTAGACTGATATACCTTAATGATATCAGACAGAAATGTTTAATATTGAAAAACTGTTCTCCTAAAATCGATGTTTGTATCTTTTGGTAAAATTATAATTCATCAAATTCAACGTCATTTGTTCATCTTCCCACCCTGCCCACTGCTCCCTCACCATATCTCTATCTTCCTTGTGGTCCCCATTTCACTATCTCTCCAATGTTCTAGTTTATGGTTTGTATGTTTGATTTTGTGAGATATATAATTTTAATATTCTTTCTCCAGGATCTGTCAAACAAGCTTCATACAGCCCTTTCAGATGAGAAGTAAGTGGACATATCATTTATATTTAAGCACCACACCCCTTTTTTGCCATCTGATTCAGAGAACCAGGATAACCTGATGCCATTGTGTTTCATCCTTCATGTGCCTTGTGTAAACTTTTATTCTTAAGTCCTTCTTAGGTTGCACCAGTGATTGTTATTATTGTTACTTTTTCACCAAAGTGATAGACAACACACAGCAATAATTAATGGACTCTTTTCCAGAAAATTGAACATGGAATTGGCAAAAAGTTGAGATGAAGAAAAAAATAAGAATAAAAAATAAACAAATACATAAAATAAAAAACCTATTGAACCAGTTGTCTTGTAGTTAGTCCAGTATAACAGTAACGTTTCTTTGTTTTGTTGTTATAGATACAAGGAGAGTGATAGTGCAATGGTAGCTTTGCTGCGGTCAGCTCTTGATGTAGTGGTCCACAGTAGGGACAGGTAAGTCCCGAATGCTGATTATTAACTATCAACACTTATTGTGTATTGGACAAGGCTGATTTTTTACACTTCAATTTCTACAAAGTAATACAATGTCAGTGAGCCAGCTTTGACTGGGCATATTACATAATGGGATGTAAATTAGATGTAAACTTAATTACAGGTAGTTACTAAATGTTAAGTACAGTTACATATTGAAATCAAAGGAACAAAAGATAATGAGCAAAGATTGAATGCAATAATTTGGCTGTTTTTACACAGACTTATACTTCTGGGTCCTGGTTTAGTTATGTGCTCATAATGTCCGGTATTTCAGTGATATCTATAGAGACAAACGTTTTACTTGTCTCGTGACTGATAATTACTTTATGGATGCATCAAAGTTTGGAGCAAAGTCTTGAGACTGGTACTAATTCTAGACGTTGATTGACCCTCTAGATTTGACTTTTTGACATGTATAGTTAAAGAAAACACATGATAAAGCTAAACAAGGTTGAAGATCTCTGCTATAATTAATCAAGACAAATCTGTACATCAGCACATGCATGACAACACAATGTATTTTTCTTCAGACAAAGCCCCTCACCTCCTCCGAAAAGAAGCAGAGTGCGAGGTGTCTCCCCAAGAAGAACCGATTCATATCGCAAGTACAAGCGCTCTCCTTCTCCAGACTCCTACAAAAGACATAGGGATTTGTCACCATTAAGAGGTCACTATTCAAGGTCAAGGTCACCTGTAACGAAGCACAGAAGATCATTTACTCCATTGAGATCTCACAGTTCAACTTCCCCATTGAGACATCAAGATTCTTTGTCCTCTTTACAAATGCGAGAGTCTATCTCTCCTCAGAGAGGTAGAAGTTCACTTTCCCCAATGCAGACAAGAGGCTCCTTATCCCCACGCAGGTCTTACCGGTCACCAGTTAGAGATACATATGATGGTAAGAGGATGTCCTATTCTCCAGTCCATGGTGACCGATATCAGCAGAGGAGGACTTCGCCTCATCACCGTACTCACAGACATGGGTTATCTCCGGTCTCTGTGTCACCTGTGAGAGATAGGTATAGTCGCAGCTCATTTTCCCCAAATACTTCAGAGTATGATAGAAACCTGCATGATAGAGGAGGTCAGTACAGACAGAGGGATGTATTTACTCGCGGTAGAGTGTCCATTTCCCCACAAAGGGCCACCTATTCTGGACACAGGTCATCGTCTCCAAATAGAAATTTGTCATACAGGAGGGCAAGGGATTCCATATCCCCAGTAGGCAGGGAATATGACCGCAACAGACGATCACTGTCCCCAGATGAAAGGCATAGGCGATATAACCGAAGCAGACGGTCACCTTCCCCAGATGTTAGAGGGTATGACAGGAACAGACGATCGCTCTCTGATGATTCTAGGAGATATGACCGAAGAAGAAGATCACCATCCCCAGGTGCAAGGGGCTATGGTCATAGCAGGCGATTACTTACCCCAGAGTCAAGAAGCTATGACCAGAGCAGAAGGTCACTGTCTCCTAGGACAAGGAGTTACGACCGCAACAGGCGGTCATTGTCTTCAGTTAGGCAAAGCTCTTATGATCTACATAGTCGAAGTTCAAGGTCACCTGAAAGATCCTATGTAAGGCATAGGTCACCTGCAAGGTCTTTATCTGATATAAGCCAACAGTCCGTTTCTAGAAGTTTGAGTCCTATATCATCAAAATCCAGGTCAAGGTCACCTAGCGTGAAGCGAAAACATCCATATGATGATTATGCACAAGACACTAAAAAGGCGAAGTTGGATCAGCCAGGTAAAAATGATAGGTTTATCCTTCAGTTTTATGATAAATGTAAGAAATTACTGCATGATTTTATATACTTCAGGATACTAAACAGCAACATTCACTTTTGTTTTTCTTTGAAAATTAGTATGAAATTTGTACCCATTCATTCTCCCGTTTTTTGGCTGATTTCAAGTTAAATGTCCTTTTCAAGATGTAAATTATGGATAAGCATTCAACTCAACAAACCATCTGTGATGACTTCTATAGAAAATCCTACGTTCTCTACTGATTATGATCATTAGGTCATAGCCCAAAGTCCTGACAGATAACCTTCTATACCACCAAATCTTGTCATCGGCTGATTTTGTTTTGGGAGTTAGGTTTATTTTAGGTGTCCTGTTCGTTAGGTTTATTTTAGGTGTCCTGTTCTATGTTAGCTGATAGCTTCACCAATGCTTCTCTTCTACAGCAGCTTCTTATACAGCGACTATTGACTTCAACAAACCACCCCCATCCAGTTCAGTAGTGGCTGCCTCCTTCTATCCTGATACAGGTAAATTTAGTACAATTAGTGCAGTATTGAATGTTGTGATGGTAATAGACTTAATTATTCTGATAGAAAAATCTACTGAACTCTGTATTCACTTTGAAGGTAACATCAATCTTGAACATCATCTGCACTAGTGTTTCTATGTAGAAAGTCTATAAAGTAAATACTTATTTTAATTTGATTTAAACAACTTTGATATTCATCAAACTGTCTGCAAATTCATTAAAATAATAAAATCTCAAGTTGGAATTTGACCTGGATTTGAAATGTATTATGGCAAACATTGGTTTCTTTACTTCATTGGGAGTAAATCTTAAAGGAATCATTTTGTTTAATAAAAACAGCTCCTAGAAGTTTGATTTTCAGGCAGATGAAAATGTGATACAGCAGTATTTGGCTATTTTACAATTCCATATCTGAGGTGGCTTTTGTTTTAGACACCATTTACAGATAATATATTTGAAGTATTTATTATATAAGTCCCTCATTTAAATGAAGAATAAACTTAAATAATGGCTTTGATCTGATTGTCATATACGTTCTAGATAATTCAGAAATAATAAGTTTGATAATGCATCTACTTGCTCTTGATTTTAAACCCAAATTTGACAGAGAAACTAGTTACTCAAGGAAGAATGGCCATCATTCTATTGATACTGATGCAAGAGGTGCATCACATTTGTGAAGTTTTAACTCTGCATCTGTCCTTTTAATGGCACAAGCATATTTTAATCATTGAGGTGGGGCAGGGAGAAGATCATTGCCAGATGAGGAATGAGGATGTAATTGTGTATTATCGTGGAACAGACTTGGAATATATCTGAGTGTGTGGTAGTACTGAAGTAGTACATGTATATAGCCTGTAGACTACCAAAGTCATGTATTTTCGCTTGTCTAGTTACTCGGATGAGAGTACCGTGAAGAAAGACATGCAAAACCATTTGTTTAAGGCTTCATTACTTGTCATTGATCACTAAACCATGAATTAAAGGCACATTTTTACTCATTTAATTAGCCACATTTTGTCCTTGAGCCTTTTATTTGATATATTTTAACAATAATGTTATCGTATGTATTTAGGATTTTACACAATGTTGTATGCCTGCTACTTTCAAGAACAAGAGGATGAAAATTAAAAAAGAGATGACAATTTTAGATTTCTGTGTGGATTAAGTTTTCATTTATTATTTTTTCAGGTTACCGACAGTCGGGAACAGCATATTCTCAACAGCCTTCAGTTACACCTACAGTGCATGGCCAGTATGCAGCACCATACCAGCCTGGTCTGGTGCCACCTCCACCGATATTGACTCCATCCCGTCCCCCTTTCATGTACTCACAGCCACCATTGCCATTCATGGGTCCCCAACACCCACCTTCCATGATGCCTCCTCAACTCCAGCCCCCACCTCGGATGATCCTGTCGATGCAACAGTCGACGTCTTACTCATCACCACAACAGCCATCTGTGACAGTCACCGCCAAGAAATCATCCCAGCCACAACGACGTCAACTCATCCCTGTACCGGAACAAGGATCCCAGTCTACTGCAGGGTCTACATCATTTACAGCAAAGTCAGTGGGTGTGGTCGACCCTCCGAGAAGGATACTCTTTGTAGGAGACAGTCTTATACATCAGCTCAGTAATGATTTTGTCGGCCAGAAACAAAATCTGAACTTACATCAGCGTGAATTTCAAATTCATTGTGTGGGAAAGTTGGGAGGAGTAGTAGGAGACTTGGAACCTCCAGCATTGAACCATACTATGAATGAAATTCAGCCACATAATGTGTTCATACAGTGTGGCGGTGATGACTTAGACTCACCAAACTTTAACCAAATAATGACATGCCTACCTACCCAACTTGTGTCAATTGCACAAAGACTAGTCGATGGGTTTGGTGTTCTGTCTGTTGGGATTCTGCAGATTCTACCACGACAGACAACGAAACATGTGGCCTGTGATTCCTACAATCTAGGAGCTAACCAAGTGAACTCTAGTATCAAGGCTCTCTGCAAGAACAATGACAATATCTTTTTCTGGAACCACAAGAATCTAAGAAATATTGATGTGATCAGTATCGGCAATAGTGGTATTCGCCTGACTGAGACAGGAATGGTCAAGTACTTCCGATCAGTCAGAGGTGTGACCTTATTTGTGGGGCGTGGATCAAAGAAAACAAATCTTCAATGAATATTAACATATTTCTATTTCATGTTCAAAACTTTGGAATTTATTAAAAATTTCTCATTCCTCAGTAGTATCAGTTCTACACATTCTCACATTCACACTTATTCTCATTCACCAGAACATGAAAGTGTGAAAGATCCAACGGGTGATTTGATATTTTTTATCGTGTAGTTTTTGGCTGAAATCTTGAAATCGTTTCCTCTACATACAAAAAAATGTTTGAACATATGAATGCTTAAGAAACGCTTATTAGGCATGGGAATACTTTGGATGTGTTAAAGGGATAATGAAATATTGCTTTATTGTCAATAGTAAAGCTTTGTTGATTGTTGTAGAAGAACATTTTTTGCTATTTAGTGATGTAATCAAAATATTTTGATAGAAGTATCACTCATTTATCTGATGTCTCATGATTGTGGTGAAAACATTCCATCTGTTGTTTCTTAGTTTATGAATGGTTTTGATGCTAAGGACATGAGATAGGTTGAAAATTTAACAATGTTAAGTGTTGTATAAACTGAATGTGCAATGAATAAAGAACATAGAGTAATCAAAGATCTTTTTTATATTATACTTATATTATCCTGATCTAGTATCAAACAAATTAGTATAAATCATATTACTAATTTAATGGAAACTGTATCAGCTGTGAGCTATTACAGGAATAACTGTAACCCATAGCAGGATTAACTGTAACCCATCACAGGATTAACTGTAACCCATCACAGGATTAACTGTAACCCATCACAGGATTAACTGTAACCCATCACAGGAATAACTGTAACCCATCACAGGATTAACTGTAACCTATACAGGATTAACTGTAACCCATCACAGGATTAACTGTAACCCATCACAGGAAAAACTAACCCATCACAGGAATAACTGTAACCCATCACATGAATAACTGTAACCCATCACAGGATTAACTGTAACCTATACAGGATTAACTGTAACCCATCACAGGATTAACTGTAACCCATCACAGGAATAACCCATCACAGGAATAACTGTAACCCATCACAGGAATAACTGTAACCCATCACAGGAATAACTGTAACCCATAGCAGGAATAACTGTAACCCATCACAGGATTGACTGTAACCCATAGCAGGATTAAATGTAACCCATCACAGGAATAACTGTAACCCATCACAGGAAAAACTGTAACCCATAGCAGGAATAACTGTAACCCATCACAGGAATAACTGTAACCCATCACAGGAATAACTAACCCATCACAGGAATAACTGTAACCCATCACAGGAATAACTGTAACCCATCACAGGAATAACTGTAACCCATCACAGGAATAACTGTAACCCATCACAGGAATAACTGTAACCCATCACAGGAATAACTGTAACCCATCACAGGAATAACTGTAACCCATCACAGGAATAACTGTAACCCATCACAGGAATAACTGTAACCCATCACAGGAATAACTGTAACCCATCACAGGAATAACTGTAACCCATCACAGGAATAACTGTAACCCATCACATGAATAACTGTAACCCATCACAGGAATAACTGTAACCCATCACAGGAATAACTGTAACCCATCACAGGATTAACTGTAACCCATCACAGGAATAACTGTAACCCATCACAGGAATAACTGTAACCCATCACAGGAATAACTGTAACCCATCACAGGAATAACTGTAACCCATAGCAGGAATAACTGTAACCCATCACAGGAATAACTGTAACCCATCACAGGAATAACTGTAACCCATCACATGAATAACTGTAACCCATCACAGGAATAACTGTAACCCATAGCAGGAATAACTGTAACCCATCACAGGATTAACTGTAACCCATCACATGAATAACTGTAACCCATCACAGGAATAACTGTAACCCATCACAGGAATAACTGTAACCCATCACAGGAATAACTGTAACCCATCACAGGAATAACTGTAACCCATCACAGGAATAACTTTAACCCATCACAGGAATAACTGTAACCCATCACAGGAATAACTGTAACCCATCACAGGAATAACTGTAACTGTAACCCATCACAGGAATAACTGTAACCCATCGCAGGATTAACTGTAACCCATCACAGGAATAACTGTAACCCATCACAGGAATAACTGTAACCCATCACACAGGAATAACTGTAACCCATCACAGGAATAACTGTAACCCATCACAGGAATAACTGTAACCCATCACAGGAATAACTGTAACCCATCACAGGAATAACTGTAACCCATCACAGGAATAACTGTAACCCATCACAGGAATAACTGTAACCCATCACAGGAATAACTGTAACCCATCACATGAATAACTGTAACCCATCACAGGAATAACTGTAACCCATCACAGAAATAACTTTAACCCATCACAGGAATAACTGTAACCCATCACAGGAATAACTGTAACCCATCACAGGAATAACTGTAACCCATCACAGGAATAACTGTAACCCATCACAGGAATAACTGTAACCCATCACAGGAATAACTGTAACCCATCACAGGAATAACTGTAACCCATCACAGGAATAACTGTAACCCATCACAGGAATAACTGTAACCCATCACAGGAATAACTGTAACCCATAGCAGGAATAACTGTAACCCATCACAGGAATAACTGTAACCCATCACAGGAATAACTGTAACCCATCACAGGAATAACTGTAACCCATCACAGGAATAACTGTAACCCATCACAGGAATAACTGTAACCCATCACAGGAATAACTGTAACCCATCACAGGAATAACTGTAACCCATCACAGGAATAACTGTAACCCATCACAGGAATAACTGTAACCCATCACATGAATAACTGTAACCCATCACAGGAATAACTGTAACCCATCACAGGAATAACTGTAACCCATCACAGGAATAACTGTAACCCATCACAGGAATAACTGTAACCCATCACAGGAATAACTGTAACCCATCACAGGATTAACTGTAACCCATCACAGGAATAACTGTAACCCATCTCACGTATAACTGTAACCCTTACCAGTTATTACTGTAACCCATCACAGGAATAACTGTAACCCATCACAGGAATAACTGTAACCCATCACAGGAATAACTGTAACCCATCACAGGAATAACTAACCCATCACAGAAATAACTGTAACCCATCACAGGAATAACTGTAACCCATCACAGGAATAACTGTAACCCATCACAGGAATAACTGTAACCCATCACAGGAATAACTGTAACCCATCACAGGAATAACTGTAACCCATCACAGGAATAACTGTAACCCATCACATGAAAAACTGTAACCCATCACAGGAATAACTGTAACCCATAGCAGGATTAAATGTAACCCATCACAGGAATAACTGTAACCCATCACAGGAATAACTGTAACCCATCACAGGAATAACTGTAACCCATCACAGGAATAACTGTAACCCATCACAGGAATAACTGTAACTGTAACCCATCACAGGAATAACTGTAACCCATCACAGGAATAACTGTAACCCATCACAGGAATAACTGTAACCCATCACAGGAATAACTGTAACCCATCACAGGAATAACTGTAACCCATCACATGAATAACTGTAACCCATCACAGGAATAACTGTAACCCATCACAGGATTGACTGTAACCCATAGCAGGATTAAATGTAACCCATCACAGGAATAACTGTAACCCATCACAGGAATAACTGTAACCCATCACAGGAATAACTGTAACCCATCACAGGAATAACTGTAACCCATAGCAGGAATAACTGTAACCCATCACAGGATTAACTGTAACCCATCACAGGAATAACTGTAACCCATCACAGGAATAACTGTAACCCATCACAGGAATAACTGTAACCCATCACAGGAATAACTGTAACCCATCACAGGAATAACTGTAACCCATCACAGGAATAACCCATAACTGTAACCCATCACAGGAATAACTGAGGATTAACTGTAACCCATCACAGGAATAACTGTAACCCATCACAGGAATAACTGTAACCCATCACAGGAATAACTGTAACCCATCACAGGAATAACTGTAACCCATCACAGGAATAACTGTAACCCATCACAGGAATAACTAACCCATCACAGGAATAACTGTAACCCTCACAGGAATAACTGTAACCCATCACAGGAATAACTGTAACCCATCACAGGAATAACTGTAACCCATCACAGGAATAACTAACCCATCACAGGAATAACTGTAACCCTCACAGGAATAACTGTAACCCATCACAGGAATAACTGTAACCCATCACAGGAATAACTGTAACCCATCACAGGAATAACTGTAACCCATCACAGGAATAACTGTAACCCATCACAGGAATAACTGTAACCCATAGCAGGATTATCTGTAACCTATTACAGGATTAAGTGCAACCCATTGCAGGATTAACTTTAACCATTACCATAGCTCAATAGATTGCCTTGTTTCTGCTTTATATTATTTTTATTTTTCTGCTTTACATGCGAGTACATCTGTCTGTTGATATGTGAAAATTGCCAACCTACTTTCAAAGAAATTGATGAGAGTCATTGTAATTCAAAACAGTAATGGCCTGACCATTATCATGTCTGTGTTATCACCTTGAGAAGTATAAGATGGATATTTCTGCAGCTTTATATGTAGGCTCTATTTGATCCCTATTTGAGACTGACAGCCATCTTAGATTTTTAAAATTGAAGTTTGTTTTCACTATTTGGGGAGAAGTACTGGAATGATATTTGTTAGACTTGATGCATAGGTTCCCCACCTTCCCTAGTTGTGCCTATCCATTTTGGAGACTGAATAGAAAATAACATCGCTGACAGATAGCCATCTTGGATTTTGAAAATTATACTTTATATATTTGTGCATCACTGGTAGCAATTATATTCAAAACTACATATGCAGTTTTCAAAGGGACATACTTAAACCATGACTTAATTTCATCTATTTCATCACAAGGAACTTAAATCCATCATCATCAAAATTGGGTTATTCAAATGTCCAACCATCAGTAGACAGTCCTTGGTATCACTATTTCTGGAAAGGAACTGGATGGATGGGTTCTCAAATTTCATATATAGGTCCCTCTTGGTCCATTGTATTACTCTTTTGATTTTCGGACATGTCAAGAAATCAAAATGGCTGACAGGCGGCCATATTTGATTTTGAAAATGAATTGAGAAATTGTTTTCTTTGGCCCCTGGTTGTGCCCTTTCGATTTTGATTAGGAAAGCACAATGTCTAACAGTTGGCCATCTTACATTTTGACCATTTTCTCAGGGAAGCACTGGATGGATCATTCTAAGATTTCATATGCAGGTTCCCCTTTGCTCTTTTGCAATACTTTTGTACAAAGACAAAGACGAACAAGTCTTTGACTACTACTGATCTGTTTGTAAAGCTAACCTTCATATTTCCGGCAGAATAGATTGGTCAGCACATAATTAGTGTAATGTAATCAGGTGGAGTACTGGGCTACCATGGTAGGGTATAAAACATTTCTTTATCAATGTGTGGTAAGTATTCCAGTGAAATTACATAAAAATTATCTCCTAATCTCGCTAGCTCTGGTAGTTAGTATTTGATGGATTACACTTGGTCCTATGTGACGTGTTGTCCATCTTTCATATCTAGTCGTCAATTTCTTGAGAAGGCAGTCAAGTTAGACTGTTACAGTTTCTTATCACTACTGATATTACTTGGGAAAGCACCCAAACTAGTCATTTTCAAATTTCATAATTTCACCTGTCTATACAATGTACAGTTCAGAGGAAAGAAAAATAAACAAGAGGCCCATGTGCCTTTTTCAGACCAATCCGAAATTAACAAACTTTGGTCAGGATCATGTCACGATCATTTCAGGTAAGTTTCAGCTCAATGAGACATGTAGAACTTGAGAAGAAGTTGAATATGTTTATGACGAATGACATACGACGGACAACAGCGGACAAAAGTCAATTGCAATAGGTCATCAGACCCTTCGGTCAGATGACCTAAAAACTCGAGGAAAGACGAGACCATACAATGGTGCATGTCAGGATCACTTTGGAATTAATAGTTTGGACATAGATAGAAGTGGATGAAATGCAGATACATGAATCTGAAGTATTGATGGTCATTTAAGATTTTGTAAAAGATACACAAGTCAACAGCACCTTTTAATACAAATTTAGAGTTGGATACAGTAGAGACAAAGATTGTACAAAAGACACAAGAAAATATCACCTTTTAATACAAATTTAGAGCTAGACACAGTAGAAACAATAATTGTACAAAAGACACACAAGAGAATATCACCTTTTAATATAGATTCAGAGTTGGATACAGTAGAGCGGAACAATGAATTAAACGGCATCATAAAGCTGCTTCATCCTTCCAGGACTTGTCAGTGATGATAAGGGCACAAATTTTGAAGCCTCGGAGTCCACTTATGAAAACCCAAAGGAATCAAAACAAAAGTCAAACTCTAGATGGTTCATTAGCCTGTAAGGAGAAATGTGTCTGGTGGCCAACTCGTATTCCCCCTTCACTGTTTCCAAAGAGACATAACTTTCTGAAAAGGGTAAGATAGCTCAATTGATATAGTCTACACACACATACAAATTATAAGGATTATAGCCAGCAAGTATCATTGAAATTTTAGGAGTAGCAGTGACATTGTTGTGTCTAGAGACGGATGTTCAGACAGACAACCTGATTCAAGTGTAAACAAATCCCCCTCCCCCACTTCATTGTGGAGGGTTATAAGTATACATGGTCTGATTCTAGTGTAAACAAATCCCCCTCCCCCACTTCATTGTGGAGGGTTATAAGTATACATGGTAGTGTCTAGAGACAGACGGTCGGACAGACAATCTGATTCTAGTGTAAACAAATCCCCCTCCCCCACTTCATTGTGGAGGGTTATAAGTATACATGGTAGTGTCTAGAGACAGACGGTCGGACAGACAATCTGATTCTAGTGTAAACAAATCCTTCTCCCCCACTTCATTGTGGAGGGTTATAAGTATACATGGTAGTGCCTAGAGACAGATGGTCGGACAGACAACCTGATTCTAGTGTAAACAAATCCTTCTCCCCCACTTCATTGTGACTTTGTGTCATTGTGGAGGGTGATAACTATACATTGTAGATAACATTCTTCATCAGGAGATAACAAGTAACAAGTCAGGTGTGATTGTAGAAATATTATGTATTGGCAACAAAATTAACATAATCAATAAACATGATAAATTTTCCCGCTCATTAATTATAACATACACAATACAATGTTTTATATCTGTCAAACTGAAGTGTTAATAATAAAGTATGACATACCAACCCTATCTAACATAACTCATTATACAGGTAATATGAAAGAGGATGACTCATTACACAGGTAATATGGAATAGATTGACTCGTTATACAGGTAATACGAAAGAGGATGACTCATTACACAGGTAATACGAAAGAGGATGACTCGTTACACAGGCAATACGAAAGAGGATGACTCGTTACACAGGCAATTCAAAGGAGGATGACTCATTACACAGGTAATACGAAAGAGGATGACTCATTACACAGGTAATACGAAAGAGGATGACTCATAACACAGGTAATACGAAAGAGGATGACTCATTACACAAGTAATATGAAAGAGGATGACTCATTACACAGGTAATATGAAAGAGGATGACTCATTATACAGGTAATACGAAAGAGGATGACTCATTACACAGGCAATAAGAAAGAGGATGACTCGTTACACAGGTAATACGAAAGAGGATGACTCATTATACAGGTAATATGAAAGAGGATGTCTCATTACACAGGTAATATGAAAGAGGATGACTCATTACACAGGTAATATGAACAAGGATATCTCATTATACAGGTAATATGGAAGAGGATGACTCATTACACAGGTAACAATAATAATTTAAATGGCAACATTATCATGATTTTAGTTTGAAAGTCTGTAACATCTTTCCGAAAAAGTTGATTGTATCTTTCTAGAAATGACCAAATTTATATTTCAATAATTCTGATACTGTAAACAAATATGTACATGATTTACAAACAGTAAACACTGACAATGAACACACATAACACCTACTGTAGCCTTAATTTGTCATCTTGGATGATCTTATTTCATTTTTGATATAAAATTAGCTTTACATTGCTGAACATTCTTTAATCTGTGTAAACACTAACATGGCACAAATACTGAACAAAATGTGAAAATACTGCTTAATTACACAATGGTCATGACTGTAATGACAATCGATAGAAAATGTTCCTTCAACAGTCTTTATACTTCCATGGCAACAATAACTGTATCGATGATATGATTGGTTCCCAAATTAATAGTCCTCATAATTCCTGTTCATTCCTTGATTTCCACCGCCACCCATCTGTTGCCGATTTCCTCCTGAATAAAGCAAACAATAACCATATAAGGTGGCAACAAATTGACAACAAATGAATGTCTTTATATTGACCTTTTTCAATAAATATAGGACTTCTTGTTCATAGATGAAATATTTAAAAAAATGTAAAATGTACTTCTAGTTGAAGAAATAAAAAAGAAACAAGAAGCCCGGGGACCTTAATGGTCACCTGAATACAAAATCTTTCAGCAGGGAGAATAGTTATTGATTAGTGATTGAAATGAAAAGAACTTTAAAATATGTTTTCAAGATCGTGGACATGGCCGTCATCTTGGATTTCAGACCAACTCAAAAAGTAACAGCACTTGGTCAGGGCCATCTCAGAATCATTTCAGACAAGTTGGAGCTCAATCTCCTGAGAAGAAGTTTGAAATAGGTATTGCACAGGAAAACCATGATTGTGTAATTATGCTACAAAATGGCCTACCTGGCTTCCATGTCAAAGTTTTGACAAGGGCGAAATATAACAACACTTTGTTAGCTAACTTTCCTTAACATTTCCACCAATTTTTAGCTCAATCGCACAAGTAGAACTGGAGAAGAAGTTTAAAATATGTTTTTCAAGATGGTGGCCATATAGCAAAATCTGGTCAGGACCATCTCTGGATCATTTCATGCAAGTCTGAGCTCAATCCCACAAGTGGAACTTTAGAAGAAGTTTAAGACGTGAGTAGTTTGTGCACGGCAGACAGTGGACGAGGACAGATGAAGCACAATGACTATAGGTCATAGGTCATCATGATCCTTTGGGTCAGATGACCTAAAAAGTCCTTTTTTCTCTTCCTTTATCAAAATTTACTAAGTTTTAAAAAAATACCAGCATGAAAATAAGCAGCCTAGTTCTGATAAAGAGGATCTAGAAGGACTCACGATATCCCTGATAAAGAGGATCTAGAAGGATTTATGGTATCCCTGATAAAGAGGATCTAGAAGGACTCACGATATCCCTGATAAAACTTGGAATCAAAGCATTAGGACTGTTAGATCACCCGAATGTACTGAATATCAGATCAGGAATACTTCGATGAATGATTAAGAATTGAATTTTCTACTGAGAAATCGTCCCCAAAAAGCAAAAAAAAAAAACACAAATGCGGAAATCTATTGCTAATTTAGTGTTTCAGAAAAATCTTGTGGAAAAGGTAGTAAATCCTGCACTAGACAAACTCCTCTCCAAACGAAGACTTACTGACAGATTCAAGTAGACCCCTAGCTTTGTTGGTACAGGGATAAGTGGTACCTTTGTATAAAATATGACAGACATACACTTGTTCTGTGTTCAGTTTTCTATGTATTAGACCTGTAACTTTGTTGGGGTAGAGATAATTGGTAACTTTGTATAAAATATGACAGACATACACTTGTCCAGTGTTCAGTTTTCTATGTATAAGACCTGTAACTTTGTTGGGGTAAAGATAATTGGTAACTTCGTATAAAATATGACAGACATACACTTGTTAGTGCTCAGTTTTCTATGTAAAAGACCTGTAACTTTGTTGGGGTAGAGATAATTGGTAACTTTGTATAAAATATGACAGACATACACTTGTTCAGTGTTCAGTTTTCTATGTATAAGACCTGTAACTTTGTTGGGGTAGAGATAATTGGTAACTTTGTATAAAATATGACAGACATACACTTGTTAGTGCTCAGTTTTCTATGTAAAAGACCTGTAACTTTGTTGGGGTAGAGATAATTGGTAACTTTGTATAAAATATGACAGACATACACTTGTTAGTGCTCAGTTTTCTATGTAAAAGACCTGTAACTTTGTTGGGGTAGAGATAATTGGTAACTTTGTATAAAATATGACAGACATACACTTGTTAGTGCTCAGTTTTCTATGTAAAAGACCTGTAACTTTGTTGGGGTAGAGATAATTGGTAACTTTGTATAAAATATGACAGACATACACTTGTTAGTGCTCAGTTTTCTATGTATAAGACCTGTAACTTTGTTGGGGTAGAGATAATTGGTAACTTTGTATAAAATATGACAGACATACACTTGTTAGTGCTCAGTTTTCTATGTAAAAGACCTGTAACTTTGTTGGGGTAGAGATAATTGGTAACTTTGTATAAAATATGATAGACATACACTTGTTAGTGCTCAGTTTTCTATGTAAAAGACCTGTAACTTTGTTGGGGTAGAGATAATTGGTAACTTTGTATAAAATATGACAGACATACACTTGTTAGTGCTCAGTTTTCTATGTAAAAGACCTGTAAAGTAGACCATAGGATCCTATACCTTGACTGTATCCCCCTCTGCCAGCTCCACGACCTGTTCCTCCACGACCTGTTGCTCTGATTGTTCCTCTTTGTGTTCCTCTCATACTTCCTCCACGCATGCTCCCTCTACCACCTCTATTCATTCCTCCACGGGATGCCCCTAAGCCTGGTTTGGAGTACTGGTTCTGTATTTGGGTCCGATATGATCCCTGTCCCCCAGAGTAGCCCCCACTTCCCATTGTAGAGTTGTGGCTCATCGAAGATCCTCCTCCCCGACTTGAAGAAAATTCTGATCAGACACAAAAAATAGTTTTATATTATGAGCAGAGTCACTTGTGGGCAAGAACAAATAATGTGTTTCTAAGCAAACATCACAGAAGTTCTTTCAAGAACAACAAAAGCGTAAAAATGAAACAGAAAAAAAATATCAAATCATTAAATTCTTGCCAAAAGCAGAATTCACTGCTAGGACACTATGCTTGATATGTATGGCAAGATTTAAAGAGATATGTAATGATAATTTTCACAATGTAGCCTGGAAAGTTTGTAAACAGTAAATTTATATTTCTCACTGTGTTTCCATGGTAACAGAGAAAATATTAAAAATGAAATCTGGCCAATGATAAAAGGCACAAATAGGGCACTAGCCACTTAAGTAGGGCACTAGCCACTTAACTAGGGCACTAGCCACTTAAGTAGTTTTCTAGTTGTAACCAGGAAAATGGATGGACAGATGGATATATCGAGTCCAACTAAGCTGGTATCTCCATTAAATGACCTTTTACAGGGAATGAAGGATAAACAAGAGGCCCATGGGCCTTAACAGTCATCTGACAAAAAGCAAGCCAAACCTAGAAAGTGGGTTGAGGTCATTCATTTGAACAAACTTGGTAGCCTCTCCTCCAAGCATCTTACAGGCCCAATATCAGCACTCATGGACTTTTGCTTGTTGAGAAGAAGTCGTTTGTATATTTTAACATATTTGACCCCTGTGACCTTGAAAGTGGGTTGAGGTCATTCATTTGAATAAACTTGGTAGCCTTTCCTCCCAGCATGCTACAGACCCAATATCGGCACTCATAGACTTTTGCTTATTGAGATGAAGTCCTTTGTATATTTTAACATATTTGACCCCTGTGACCTTGAAAGTGGGCCAAGGTCATTCATTTGAACAAACTTTGTAGGGCTCCATGCCAGCATGCTATGGGCCAAGTATTAGCCCCCTAGGCCTTCTAGTATTTGAGAAGAAGTTATTTAAAGATTTTGACATATTTGACCCCTGCGACCTTGAAAGTTGTTCAAGGTCATTCATTTAAATAAACTTGGTAGCCTTTCCTCCCAGCATGCTACAGACCCAATATCGGCACTCATAGACTTTTGCTTATTGAGATGATGTCCTTTGTATATTTTAACATATTTGACCCCTGTGACCTTGAAAGTGGGCCAAGGTCATTCATTTGAACAAACTTTGTAGGGCTCCATGCCAGCATGCTATGGGCCAAGTATTAGCCCCCTAGGCCTTCTAGTATTTGAGAAGAAGTTATTTAAAGATTTTGACATATTTGACCCCTGTGACCTTGAAAGTTGTTCAAGGTCATTCATTTAAACAAACTTGATAGCCCTTCATCCCAGCATGCCACAGGCACAATATCAGCAATCTGAGCCTTTTGGTTATTGAGAAGAAGTTGTTTAAAATTTTAACATATTTGACCCCTGTGACCTTTAAAGTGGGTCAAGGTCATTCATTTGAACACACTTGGTAGTTCTTCATCCCAGCATGTCACAGGCCCAATATCTACACTCTGAGCCTTTTGGTTAATGAGAAGAAGTTGTTTAAAGATTTTAACATATTTGACCCCTGTGACCTTTAAAGTGGGTCAAGGTCATTCATTTGAACAAACTTGGTAGAGCTCCATGCCAGTATCCTCTGTGCCAAGTATTAGCCCCCTAGACCTTCTAGTATTTGAGAAGAAGTCGTTTGAATGAAAAGTTTACGGACGGCGCACGGCGGACGACGACGGACGAAGCATGATGACTATAGGTCATCGGACCCTTCGGGTCAGATGACCTAAAAACCCACATTTGTGTAACTTCTTGATATAATCAGTTATGAGCTAATCAAATCATGCAGTCTGAATAAAGACTTTCCAGAAAAAATCTGCTGTTTTTTGCTGCAGAGATGAGTTTGGCTCCTTTAAAACAGCATCTACCTGCTCTTGGTCGTTTTTGCATCTGGGTATGATCCTCATCATAAGGCTTTCTTCTTTTTAGGGCTACAGGATTGGGTCTCCGCATTGACAGGGATGTGCCGGGGTGCCCAAGGGAGCTGCTTGCAGAGCCACGGGCAGGTGACTTGCTCCTGTGATAAGGCAAATGATGCAGTAATATCATGTACATCATTTATTATGATACAAGAAAGTGGTCATCTACTCATTGGACTACAGATGTTTGGCTTAGAGTCTCTGAAATGTATATATTATCTTTAAGAGTGATGTCAGATAATCCCTGTCCCATCAATTTTTGGAACTTCAGATGAAAAAATTCTTCAGTACTTGAATTACCACCTTTTGGTGCTATATTGGGTTTTCTTGGCATACTGGTAACTGGGTGTGCATGAATGAAATTAAATAACCTAGGTCATTTAAATAACACAATCTGATAGAGAACAGTTATTTTTGGTATTAATCAATCCTAGATATTACCCTTCTTTCTTCTGCATGGCATCCAGAGCTGTCTGTAGGAGAGCAACCATGGCACGGTCATCCTGGACACCTTGTCTTTAACAGCAAACAAAGTCAACATAACAATAACATTACATATCATAGAGTTATCACCTGATCCAGGTGAAAATAGACCCAATATACATTGCTGCTAGTGAGAGCACAAGTCAAATAGCCAGGGATCCCAGGTTCACTAGCAGTCATCAAAATAAATACTGAACACTGTTACAACAGTGACCATATATTTACCCAGGGTCCTCCTAGGGCTCACAAATGTATCATAATTCATGATTTATTTCAACGACAAGATCTACATCACAAATAGTTCCCAGACAAAGAGATATTACAGATATTTAATGAAGATGATATATTTACATCACAAATAGTTCCCAGACAAAGAGATATTACAGATATTTAATGAAGATGATATATTTACATCACAAATAGTTCCCAGATAAGGAGATATTACAGATATTTAATGAAGATGATATATTTACATCACAAATAGTTCCCAGACAAGGAGATATTACAGAAATGAAGAAAATGTTGTTAAAAATGAGAAGCAGTCAAGTCATATCAAATGGAAACTACAACAAAATAAATTAGCAGGTACAATTAGAGGCTGATACCAATCTGAAATGAGAAGTGATATCTCTTGGAAACCTAAAGAGAACAAGACAGAAAAGTTACCTTTCATTTGAGAGGACTACTCCAAGCTTTTCAGAAAGATCCTGGAAATAAAGGGAAAGCAAAAAGATAGATTTGTAGGACATAACAAGAAATCTGTAGGCAATTAAAGGGCCTTTCTGGGACCTGTTTACAGTTTTATCGGTCTTTATTGGCTAACCAGCATAAACAATTACATCACATCATAATACAATAGCAAGTGCTTGCAGTGATACAGACATATTATGGAGGATGGACAATAGGGTTTGACATTTGATCTAACCTTAGAAGCAGCAACTAGAAATTTTGCTAGATTACTTAATTTTTTCTTATTTTTAAAAGAGAGAAGATTAACTAGTTTTAACATAGATGGACATACTCTATAATATCGATCCATATAGCAAGTTCTAAGAACACTGTATAATGGACAAACAAGAATATTCATCTCCGATAAAGTAAAGAACATACTTTTAACAGTGTTATGAATGCACACCATCCAAAGGAAGGATCGATACTTAAATAGGCACCAGAAAAGTCAATTCTGTCCCTTTGTTCTCTATATAATAAGAGAAAGACAGAAAATTCTCTCACAAAAAGTAAAAAAGTCTGATTTTCACCATTACCACCGATGCAGTAGTACTCTACCTTGAATCAGATATTCCATGTTACCAACAGGATCAGTTGTGTTATGGTAACTTACCCGACGAGAAGCTGTCTTCTTCACCCCTCTTCCTCTGAGATCATCATCTAGAGTAAAAAACAGAAGTAGAAGAAATTATCATTTTTCCCTGGTAAACCATTGGGTGGGGGATATACAATTATTAATTTGATTTTAATGAAATTTTGATTGATACAATGTCATAAAAGTCCACCACTATTAATTCATGGTTTTCAGATGAAAGCACCTGCGTGTAGTGCTATTTACGGTTTACAGACGAGTACTTACGCTTGCCTAAACTTAACATTTCCTACAAGACTATAAAGTTGGGACCATGCTTGCTGAAACTAATTAATTACAGCATCCCAAATAACATGTTTACAAATAAATAAAATTAATCCTGAAGTGACTTGTTGAGAGATTAAGTTGTAATACCTCGTTCCATGCTGGGTGAGTAATCTCTGTCATCCCATATTGGACTTCTCTCCCTCCTCTTGCTGACCTGTTGCATTCTCCTAGGTGCTAAGTCCTGTCCCATCCTGTCAGCAGATCTTGATGGCCGGTCAAAGTCATCATTCCTGCTGTGGTGAGATTCTGCTCGCATGAAGTCATCCTCGTAGTCGCTGTTATCACTAAAATTTCCACCTTTGTTGTAATCTCTATAGTTACGTCCAAAGTCACCACTGTCTCTACTGCTCCTCCGATTTCTATCATAACCATCATCTCTGCCTGAATCAAAGCTGCTTCTACTGTTCCGTCCACCTCCATAGCTACCTCCTCTCCCACTTTGTGAATAACTGCTTCCTGTAGTAAAACTACCCCTATTCCCTCTAGATGAGCTGGATGGTCGAACATCACTGGTACGCCTCATCGTGCCATCCCTTTGAGAACCTCTCCTGTTGCTGAAGCGACCTGTTTCCATAGTACTCCCAGCACTCCTCCTTTGACGCTGATCACTAAAAGACCTGTCAGATCCATAACCTCTACCTGGGGAAAGACTCCGGTCAATTCGATCCCTACTTCTTGACCTTGATATTGAGGAGACATTACTTCTCATTCCTTGAATATTTGATCCCATCTGGCCCATTCCTTGGTTCATGTTAAGGCCTCCCATGTTATTTCCTCCCATGCCCATTCCTATGCCACCACCACCCATGTTTCCCATCATTCCAGTTCCCATTGCTCCCATTGCAGGTGTCATACCCATATTTCCCATTCCCATACCTGACCCCATGTTCAGACCACCCATATTTCCGCCCATTCCAGTTCCCATCATATTCCCCATGTTGGATGGGCCCATACCCATACCACCCATGTTTGCAGCCCTTACGTTGAGCCCAGGAATGCCCATATTTGACCTCATCCCTAGGCCCATGTTTGACCTCAGGCCTGTGCCCCTATTGCTTTGCCTCCTGCCACGAGTATTCAAGAACTTGTTGTCGCGGAAATTGCCACGACTGAACCTGCCAGTATTCCGTCTGTCCATGGACGGCCGACTCACTTGAAGGTTATTCTGTTTGCTATTCCAGTACTCCCTTCTCTCTGCGATAAAGAAGTGACACATTAGTAGCTTACTGGATCATTTTGTTCACAAATGACGTTGGAGGTATATACAGTATTATCTGATAAGCCATATATATACCATGCAGCAGTAAATCTAAGCACAGCTTAAGTCTGGCCTCCATCTAGATAGCCAAGAAAACCTTCTTTCACCATTTTTGTTCTGTTTCTTATGAACACTGGTAACCCGAGAGCATTCAGTGGTTGTAAGTTGTAGTCATTGAAATAGTAAGTTACACGTCACAATCCAGATGAATTCACAGCCCAATCAATTAATAAGTGACATATGTTAATTCTTTGACATTTCTTTTAAAGTCTCTGACAGCAAATTAGAAACATACACTTTATTTAGACATGCAGGAATATTGAGACAACATTTTGAAAATTTTAACAATATGATAAATTTTTTAGTATTCAAAGAGTAAGCAATATGTATCTGTATACAACTCATTATGGATGCTAAAAAATTAGAAACTCCAGCAAGTTAGTAACTGCCAAAGGGTCTGTATGCATAAAGGTCTGTATTGTATTCATTCAGATACTTTGTATAACAAAATATACCCCAAGTATTCTGATTCATTCTTGTGACGAAATGTATAAAATATTCAGATTCAAGTGAATGAATTTCAAGATGCACTTAAATAAAAGATATGTACATTTTTCCACATCATTAAAATACTGATATTCTATGATGTGTCTTACTACACATAAAAAAACCCAGATTACAACAAGAGATGATTCATATGAAAGTGCTTTGTAAACTGGCACAATCTCTTTTTGGTACTGTAAACATGAAAAGTTTGTTTTGCACAATGCTGATGCATATATATTAAAATGCTTCAACTTATCAATATATAAATGCTGACATAGCTATCTAAATAACCAAAGAAATGATGATGTTGTTGATGACAACAGTTAGAGGATAGGATGGACACTACTCACAACATTAATCTAATTCTACATAAAAGAAAACTCTTACTGTCTGACAGGTAGAACAGTTTGCCCCATAGCCACTGCTGCACACGTGGTGTTGAAGGAATCTCAGGTTTACCTGGAATAAAAACAAGTTGTTGCCATGGTTATTGTGTTCCACTCTATACTACTGTGTGAACAAGAGCACTTATTTTTCACCTTATGGTTGTTATTTTTTTGGGAAAATGTCAAATAATACATCTTATTACTGATTTTACATTACTAATGATAACATGGAACTCCATCTTGGACACATTAATAATAAAATTTACAATCTTCAGAGATATTAATTTCTCTGGACCACTGTGTATCAAATTAAATCCTAAATCCCACCATGTTATACAACGAAGATTCTTCTTCCAAATGTTTTAACATCGGCTTAAACCTAGTACAAATTTTACTCATTCTAATTCAAAACATCATCAATCAGGATATGCCGCCAGAGTCATTTTGAGGTGGGGTCTCATTGTAGCTGGTGGCTATCACACTGAATATTACAGGAGAGGCACATTGCACGCCATCCAGAGCATTAAGGGTAAAGTATCTTACTCAAGAACACCCATCACATGGTTCTCACTCTCAATCACTACATAGTCCACACTTACACCCATCACATAGTCCACACTCTCACCCATCACATAGTTCTCACTCTCAATCACTACATAGTCCACACTCACACCCATCACATAGTACACTCTCTCACCAATCACATGGTTCTCACTCTCACCCATCACATAGTCCTCACTCTCACTCATCACATAGTTTTCACTCTCAATCACTACATAGTCCACACTCACACCCATCACATAGTCCACTCTCTCACCAATCACATGGTTCTCACTCTCACTCATCACATGGTTCTCACTCTCACCCATCACATGGTTCTCACTCTCACCCATCACATAGTTCACACTCTCACCCATCACATAGTCCACACTCTCACCAATCACATGGTTCTCACTCTCACCCATCACATAGTCCTCACTCTCACCCATCACATGGTTCTCACTCTCACACATCACATGGTTCTCACTCTCAATCACTACATAGTCCACACTCACACCCATCACATAGTCCACACTCTCACCCATCACATAGTCCACACTCTCATCCATCACATAGTCCACACTCACACCCATCACATAGTCCACACTCTCACCCATCACATGGTTCTCACTCTCACCCATCACATGGTTCTCACTTTCACCCATCACATGGTTCTCACTCTCACTCATCACATGGTTCTCACTCTCACTCATCACATGGTTCTCACTCTCACCCATCACATGGTTCTCATTCTCACCCATCACATGGTTCTCACTCTCACCCATCACATGGTTCTCACTCTCACCCATCACATAGTCCTCACTCTCACCCATCACATGGTTCTCACTCTCACCCATCACATGGTTCTCACTCTCAATCACTACATAGTCCACACTCACACCCATCACATAGTCCACTCTCTCACCAATCACATGGTTCTCACTCTCACTCATCACATGGTTCTCACTCTCACCCATCACATGGTTCTCACTTTCACCCATCACATGGTTCTCACTCTCACCCATCACATGGTTCTCACTCTCACCCATCACATGGTTCTCACTCTCACTCATCACATGGTTCTCACTCTCACCCATCACATAGTCCTCACTCTCACCCATCACATGGTTCTCACTCTCACTCATCACATGGTTCTCACTCTCACCCATCACATGGTTCTCACTCTCACCCATCACATGGTTCTCACTCTCAATCACTACATAGTCCACACTCACACCCATCACATAGTACACTCTCTCACCAATCACATGGTTCTCACTCTCACCCATCACATAGTTCACACTCTCACCCATCACATAGTCCTCACTCTCACCCATCACATAGTTCTCACTCTCACCCATCACATGGTTCTCACTCTCACCCATCACATGGTTCTCACTCTCACCCATCACATGGTTCTCACTCTCACCCATCACATGGTTCTCACTCTCACCCATCACATGGTTCTCACTCTCACCCATCACATGGTTCTCACTCTCACCCATCACATAGTTCACACTCTCACCCATCACATAGTTCACACTCTCACCCATCACATGGTTCTCACTCTCACCCATCACATGGTTCTCACTCTCACCCATCACATAGTTCACACTCTCACCCATCACATGGTTCTCACTCTCACCCATCACATAGTTCACACTCTCACCCATCACATAGTTCACACTCTCACCCATCACATGGTTCTCACTCTCACCCATCACATAGTTCACACTCTCACCCATCACATAGTTCACACTCTCACCCATCACATGGTTCTCACTCTCACCCATCACATGGTTCTCACTCTCACCCATCACATAGTTCACACTCTCACCCATCACATGGTTCTCACTCTCACCCATCACATAGTTCACACTCTCACCCATCACATAGTTCACACTCTCACCCATCACATGGTTCTCACTCTCACCCATCACATGGTTCTCACTCTCACCCATCACATAGTTCACACTCTCACCCATCACATAGTTCACACTCTCACCCATCACATGGTTCTCACTCTCACCCATCATATAGTTCTCACTCTCATTCACCACATGGTTCTCACTCTAACACCTTATATTATTCTCACTTATCACTGAGATCAGTATCTCATGTTTACCTATGTCTGTGATCCTGCTGATCCGCACTTGGTGCTTGCCAATCTTGATGAACTTGTTTTTGTGAAGAAAGGCAAGACAGTCTGATTTAGATTCCATTTCTACCACAGCCCAACTAGAAAATAAAACCCACACAGATCAAGATTCAGTATTCACATCATCTTCTAAAGAATGACAAGATCATTTATAGTGATAGAGATGTTAGTGAGGAGGCACAGTAATCTCCATTCATTACTTGTTCAATGTAAATCAATGCAGCTCAGTGAAATATATTTTCTGTCACTGACAACGCTGTAAAATTTCCTGTGAGTGTGGAGAAAATGTTACTGTCAATGTATTAACCTGTGCATATTCTTTTTTTCAATTTCACCTCAAATATTTTCAAATAACTGCAATGTTAACCAGTACATGTACCAAGGTAAAAGGTCTGGAAGGTTAACACTATGAAAAGAAAACTCTTCACGTCTTGCACCATTATCTGCAGAGGCCTCGTGTCACAGGAGGGAGACCCTAATAACATGATGATATTTCCAGTTATGTTTCAAGTGTCTGTAGATCAGCCAAATGTGCTAGAACACTCAGAAATGAGCTATCATCTCTCAAAACGTGTCAAAGTCTGGCAATAAATGTAAAAGTCATACAGGGATTATCTCCCCCTGGAATAGTGTTTCCTGTCAGGTTTATCTGATACGTTGACAATGGAGTAAATGGCATGGCCAGATCTATCTGTAGGTAAATCAATAACATACTGATATTATAGTGCGTTTCTATGAAATGACACCATCTGTTTCCACCTTGGGAAATTAAACAATTCATTGTTGACAATATAATATAGTTATGGAACTTCTGCAAAGGACATTGTTCCTGATTCTGAGACTTTGAAACGAGAAGTTCATTGATGGGTTGAATCAATGTAAATTGTTAATGTCAGTCTCGGATGGAGAAGTAGAGGACGTGTACACTGGATGATTAATTCTACAGCAGAAATTACAGCATGTATAATGATATAAAGCAGGTTAAGGCAGTACATTGTAATTACATGCTTTTAAACTCCAATCATCAGCTAATATTGCTGAATAAGGCTTATTTAATGTTGTAGTACATTTATTACTTCATCAACATACAGAATGACTTTTAAACAAGATTTAATTATACAGCAATCAGTGCTGATACAGCAATCAGTGCTGTTACAGTAGTCCAAACAACAAGATGGTTCATTATTAGTGTCAATATCAGGGGCAAGTTTAGGTCAACAATCTCCTGTTTATGGCTGTCACTTTGTCATGCAACAGACACTTAGAATCTGGGTCATCTTCAAAACTTTAGAAACACAAAATCAGAAATGTTTCAAAGTTAATGGCTAATGCTTTTATTGAGTGTACATCTCTAAACCCCTTCATGGGCTCCTTAGATCAGTATTCCACATATGAAATGCTAAAACTTTGTATATATCCAATACAAGCTGTTCTACAGTATGTACTTCAGCAAAGGGTACTTCATTAACACAAATTAACAATCAATGCCATTCAGTGTTAATCCACTCTCAGTACCAACAACATATATGTTGGGAGTAGGGACCAATCATGTCCCTGTGACATTTTTATTCTACTAATGATAATGAGTGTTTTCTTTTTACTATACAAATCAGCTCATTGATCCATGAGAATGGAATAATTTTCAAAAGATGATTACTGTCTCTCACCATGACCAGAAGTATTGGTATAGCTGCTCACCTGCCTGTGGCGTGTCTAATTTGCCTTCCCCAGGGCCTCACTTTACTTACTTACCCCATAACCTTGCCCCCTGGCTTGCGGGCTACACAAGCCCTGACCATATTAGGTATGTATTCCTTCAGTGACAAGTCTGTTGTATCTTCAGGTAAATTCTTCAGGAACAAAGATCTGTCCCTGGGATGGCCCTCTGTAAACAACACGCAAAGCTGAAAATCAAGTCTTCATCAAGAAATATTGAACTACAATGAAAATGCTTCCTCTGTGCGAGATCCGAGATTGAAAACATCCATATATATTGGCAGTGTTTACTTCTCTTTTTTCTCCAGTGTAGCTGTGAGTCACTGAATCATGACTCATTAAATGTTAATCTCATTTATCCTCATACAGTATGTACAAAATGTACAAAGCTTAAAATATTTTGTAATATTGAAAATCCTTTGTTGAAATTCATTCACACAAAAATACCTGTGATATCATTGTCATTTACAATGAAATCCATGCATAAAACTTTTGAAATAGAATGCTGATCCAGCATCATAGATTCTACATCATTTCCATCAAAGATGGTGTTAGGATAATTCAGATATCACATGATCAATCTACTGGTATATATTTAAATTGTGACATTTTTTTCTTTCAAGAAATTCATATAAACAGCATATACTGCTTTTCTTCTGCAAGTAAATATATATATTTTCATTTGGGATCTTAAGACACAATCAACAACCCTTTGTAATTCTCTTCAAAAAGTCTTTTTATTTCTTTGAGTCAGTTGTGTATCTTTAAAATTTGACCCATTTCTGATGTTTTCGACATCCTTAGAAGCGTTTGAATTCATGTTGTCATTTTTGATGTATACATTGATATGTGGATCCTTCAATTCTTCCTCCTTTCACTGATCCATATTATCTAAGTTGAAAAATCCAGTAAAACAGTCAACATTGAAATGAATTACGACTGTAAAACTTCCAACAGAACGGTGTGCATTTGCCTCTCTTCTTCATACACTTCAGGCTACATGTCTTGATAAACAATGCACGCTTCAATTGTTATTTCATTAATTTCTTTCCTGTCTTTCAATTTGTAACAACTTCACCTGATGGTAGATGTTTGTACAACATGACTTGTTTTTACTTTTCTCTTCCTGAACACCTGTACGGTTCAGTGGACAGTTTCTGAATGTCTATATTAAGGACACATGTCTTTCTCAAAGTTTTTTCCACTTGACAAGACATATCAGCAACACTTTCTGACAAGAAAATGTGTGTTTGATGTCTGGTAAATTTTTTCCAATGTGAACATTTCCTTAGTACAGAATGACATTCTTTTGACATAAATATTGTCAATCAGTACAACAATTCTTTGGAAGATGAATATTGAATTATATGGTAAAAAACCAGTAAATGCAATCTTTTCAAGCAATGCAAAGTCATAGTCATCCATCTTCTACATCAGCTTTGAAGACACTTTGATGTCAGTAATCCTGATGATCAATGGTTTAAACATTTGATCAATGTCATCCATACTTCTATAAGCTTCCTCCAAAGGTCTGTTTGGTGATAAGTCTAGTTTTCTCCTTACCATGCTAAAGTGGCTAATGTTTCTCCAAAATCCATGTAAGTCCTGCTTACTAAACATTAGTTGAGTTGATTGGATAATACCTGTATGAAGTGTCTCTTGAATTCAGGATCCCAACCGCCAAAAAAAAAAACCATGCTAGGTAGTGTCCGGCGACAACTAAACCAATTTCTTATTAATGATCGGTGTTGGCCAACAAAGAAAGCTCTGATACATCAATGTAGTTTAATGAGACAAAATATGGATGTATCAATTAGCATATGCTGTGTAAATTTCTAGCTTAAAGTTTCATCCTACTGCACTTTTCAGATGAGGACAGCTTACATAATTAATAAGCGATATATGTCCCCTTCTGGACCCCACAAGCTATTACATTTTTGTGCGAACTTTGATGAGAAAGAAGAGTGTTGACAATGATTTTCTAAAAATAGTAACAGTGACCTTTACCTTGAGCCAACAACTCTGAATCTCAAACTTGTCCAATATATTATGATTTTTTTTTGTAAATGTATGAGGTTTCATCAAAATCCTGCGAGGAATGAAGAAGGAAGAATATTAACAATTATCTTAAAATAGCAATAGTGACTTTGACCTTGACCTAACAACCTGAAACGTAAAGTTTGTGGGTGAAAGGGGTTTGATCAAAATCCTGAAAGATTACTAGAGCACTGACAAATTTTGGTGTTTTATACGTACATTGATGGACGGACGCAAGGAAGGCAAACAGGTGGACAGAGAAAAAATTATAGTCTTCCCCGATTTCATCAGTACAGGACAAATAATTAACATGGACAGAACTGATTACTAATGAGAATCAATGCTGAACAGTGAAATAATTTGTTTTCTTATTGAAAATTTTGAAATAAATTCTAATGGTGAAAATTTTGAACTGTATATTTGTACTTTCTGCTTTTTTCTGTATATCATTTAGAAATTTATAGAATATTTCATGATATAACAATGTAATATGAAGAACTACACTTACATGTGTTCTTCAGGTTTTGGTTACTAACTGGTTTGGGTTAATTTTTTCATTAATTTGCTGTAATTTTCAATCATCTACAAATCAGTGCTGATCAGTAAATCTTACCTTGTAATCCCAGTCTTCTGCAGTAATCATCTAAAATGTAACAAAAAATGCATAAATAAACTTCAACTAAAGTAATATTAAAAATTGGTGGAGTAATTGTCGATTAATTTTCATGTTAAAACATGTTTTTAATTAACGGTAATCGCCATTTACCATTAAAATCAAATTTGTAAATGATATAATGACTTATATAATAGCACAGGGTGTTTGTGTTGATAATTGACTGATGAAATGCATTTGGAGGGTAGTGTTGTGCTTTAGATAAGTTTGTACTTACTTGTTTTCTTTAGTAAGTGTTCTGAGCATTCATCAATTTTGATTCCTAAGAGCCTAAGGTTTGACAGACTTTTGATGAGGTTTTCATATCGTGCTTGACTGGAGGCGTTGAAAGCAACTTTCATTTTTCTGACAGGAAGAGAAACATACTTAATGTGCTCATTATTTCACCAAAAATTCGTGTCGATTTCTTCCTCTTACCACATCTTACACACTATATCCTACATTATTTAACATGATGCATTCTTTTGGCTACTAAGAAAGAGATTTCCATCTGAACGATTATCATACAATGTTGTATCAATAATCCACTTAAAATCATGTCACAATAAAATTAACCTTAAATCAACTTTGTACCAGGACTATGTAAAACAAACCTATAGGTGATAACATGGGAGGGGGCTTGATATTCCCAACTCTTGGGGACATTTCTATTGATATTCCCAACTAATGGGGACATTTTTAAGTTATGTAAAACTTGTAATCAAGTTTTTAGATTGTACCTGGTAATAACAAAAAAAAATGTTTAATAAAATAAAAGAGCATGCTGACCCTAGTGTACGCGTCCCACTGTCATCTTCAAAATCAATATGGATTTCCTTAGCTTTGCAGAGACACAGGAAAAAGTCATCAGACTTGAAGTTTCTCACTTCTACATCCCTCAAGGTGACAGCTGGTAACAAAAACACAATTATAATGTTATAACAAACTTAATTAATTGTTATTGATATACATATTAAACGGTCTGGATAAACAGAAGCCTTGAAGCTAATACTTCTATAGTATAATTACTTATCAAATACAATTAAATTCTATACACTGTGAATATTAAGTGATATTTTCTTGAAGTTATCAACATAAACACTAACTGTAAAATGAACATTCAATGATCAAATTGATCTTTACAACTAATCTGAAAATCACCATGGTGATTACGATGAATATCATTGATTAATATCCTGGTAGATGTGAATTTGATAGAAATCAGAGGGCTATGTAGATCATTGTTGAAATGGTTACCCAAGTTCTCCCATTCCTTCGTCATGGCTTCATAGTCTGCCTTTCTCCTTTCCTCCGCTTTGGCTTTGGCTTCAGCTCTAGCTTTAGCTTCAGTCTCAGCCTTAGCTTTTCCTTCAGGTTTTGATTTTACACTCTTTCCAGCATCCTTCGATTTAGCAGTTTCTTTTTTCTCAACTTTCTTTGCAACTGTTTTCTCTTCTCCCTCAATCTTATCCTTTTGATCCTTTTCTTCAGTACCATCCTCTTTGTTACCGACTTCTTTTTTGTCAGAACTATCATCACCTGTAATTTCTGTAGCTGTGACACCATTCGCCTCAGTGTCTACCTCCCTCCCCCCTGCTTGGTTTTGACTTGTCTTTTCCTCTGTTGTTTCTGTTACATCAGTTTCCTCTTTGTCTTTGGAAGTCTCTGTACCTTTAAAATAAAAATCAGAGTTTTTACTTTTTTCTTTGAATTTTCGCTTTCGTCACTCTCTAGTGCTAAAACAAGAAAATCAATTTTAATGTTGTTGTCATTATCTCACCATAATCACCACCTTTCGGGCAGTGTTCATGATAAATTTTTTCCATGGAGGTCACTGACTATGTATTTTACCATTTAAAACAATGACACATTAAATTCATAGACTATATTGTACCTGACTGGTATCAAAGAAATTGTAAATGGAATCTGTTGAACAATTGTGAGCATCATCTCATAACTATCTTCTTCTCATCAAACAAGAAAAACATTTAACTGACTACTACCAAGACTGGTCCTGTCTACATATAAAGATCAAATGCCATGCAAGATGGATTTCAAGACCTAACATCTCAAAGTGTACTTACCATTATTTGGTTTTGTTGATGAATCCTCCATCTGATCGCCTTCTTCAGTCTTTCCAGGTTCCTCTTCCAGATTTTCTTCTCCTTCATGGAATTCCTCATCATAACTGGCTTCCATCTCATCCTCAAGGTCACCTTCATCTGCATCATACTTAGGACCTGTAGGCATGTCACTGTCATCTATCATGATGTCGTGGTCAATCTCTCCCCCATCATCTCCTTCATGTTCAGATCCAGAAGCTTCATCAACAACATCCCAGTTATCTGTCATAAACATTTCTACTCCTTCCTCATCCTCCATTTCTTCTCCATGGTCCTCATCACCTTCCTCCTCTCCTTGTTCATCAACTCCTTCACCGAGGTTCTCATCAACATCTTCATTCTCACACTCAACATTGGCAGTCAAGTCTGAAGCTTTGTCATCTGCTGGGGTTGCCATTTCTTTCAATAGCAATGCCACTTCTAGATCTGCATATAAATTTCATATTATGTAACGTTAGTATTAGCGATGAAAGTGCTTAAACAATTTGTGGTGTCATTTTCGTAATCGAGATACAAATTATTTCAGAATATACACAAGCATGTCTTCTATTGATAGCCTATATAATGTATTTTTAATGGTAAATGTATATCAGACAAACATCAATGCTTATGCAAAATTTCATTAACATTGGACGAGTAGTCTCGCTGAAAATGAGATCACATGACCTATGACCTGTGGAGAGCAATCCCATATAATATATTCTAAAAGGCAACAATTGTATAAAATGTGGACAAGAATGGCCCTTACAGGCAGAAATTATTGCAGGGCAGGAACTTTAACCCACTATCTTATATAATTTTACAACAAACCACTCCAGACAAGCAACCTGTGTACTCTGCATAGTCATGATTGGCCAGTAAAAAGAAAAATCGCATGGAAACTGAAGTGTTACTATTATTCTATTTTCCATCGAATACTTTTTCATAAATAGTGATAACCATGATGGTTGATAATCAAGATGGGTGTCTGCCGGCCATCTTGTTGCTTTGGATCAGTTCCAAAATGGGCTGTGCAAAACTGCAGAATAAGGCAAACCTATTATATATGAAATTTGAGAATGATCCATTCAGTACTTCTCCAGAAATAATGTAAAAAAAAGAGCTGTTTAAGGCCAGATGGTGGACTTTATCCAACATCCATTATCGCTGACTTGGTGTTAGATGGTAGACCAACTACCAACAATGGATGAAGGACAATTTTATCAGCCAAACCATTTATTTACTGATGGTGGCCTAAAAATGTATCTGAATTGCTGCGGTTTTATTTTTAATTGAATGATACCAAATTGATATGTGTTACAAGGAGAGTGATTACACACACAGTCTTGCTGAATTACAGGGATAAACGAGTTATTTAAAAGGAAAACAACCATCCATCTTTCCAGTGTTTAAACACCCGTCAGGAAGGTGAATAAAGTTTTAATTGTTAAATGACGCACTGTGTTGATTTTTAGCATGGCAGACTTTCCTTCCTTTACAACTAAGTATGCGTAGCGTAAAATGCCACCGCTGCAACGAACTGCAGCATAAAATATGCTCATGGAACAATGAGTCTGCGTTCTGAGGAAGTTTATCCTCTGTAATGAGAGAATGCGTTGGAGTTCCAGGGGAATCCTCGAGCTCTCGAACATGCGTAGAGGTATTACGATACTGTTAGTAATACAGCTAGATTGAGGCCATTTTTAAAATATCACAGGTATGTGACCTATACATATTTGGTATTTGTGATTAAAGGTTATTTTCTTATGATAACGTTCATTGTCATGAATATATCAAGTTCACCAAACGGCAAACAACAGCAATACAAAATTACCTTATGGAACAATGACGACCAAAGCCACCTAGAATTATCCCCCATGTAGCATTTACTCGATAGAGGGAGCAAAGTGAATAAATATAATTTCTCATGAAGTCAAGTAATTCGATTGAAATTTAAACTCAGATTACAGTTGATCTTCAAAAATGCTTCAAATCTGAAGATAAAAAGCAAAACAATAAAAATATATTTGAAAACATTTATATCTTAATATATCCGGATAATTGAAGACCGGAAATACGACTAAAACTAGATCGCACAACGCCGCTGTCACGTGTGATAAGAAAGCAGCTTTTGTCCATTTTGGGTTTAGGTAATGCATAGACAAGATTGTTTCATATATCTGCAGTAGACAAAGGAATCATTACACCATGTTTGCATTTGATTATGACTGATGTAATCATAAAAGCATGGTAAATAGAGCACCCGATTGGCCCATTTCCCGATGTCTCTTTGACGTTTACCTGCCAACTAAAGTAATTAAAGCACCAAAATATATATGTAAATATTAAATACTATGGACGATCTTTGACTAAAAACGTGTTCATTTCTCTATTTTCGACTGGTGCAGTTTGCAAAGATACCAGGTTGGTTATATGTTGATAAGAACATTACCTGTTTTCGAATGTTTAATCTTCATTTAATGCTGTCGGTTATCTATCAAGAGTCGCGAAGCTCAGCAACATACATGTAGGCATTGTAATGATGTTTTCACTGGCATGTACGTAGTCTGGAAGGGAGATATGAAGATGGCAGTTACAAAGCACGTTGTACTTTAGTGCCTACAATCTATAATTCCTGAGAGTTATTGTGTAGTTTTCTGTAGTATAAATCATGATATCAGCTTGTATATGAAGAACATATCTTTCAGTCTTTATGCAGCTTGCATATGAAAATGATGATTTGTATATTCCTTCATGATGGGAGGATTTGTTGCCCTGAAACAGTTTTATGCTCATTTTTCTTCTGTTATCTTTGGAGGTAATGACTGAAGATTTGGGTGTGGCACCTCGATCTCGAAGAACAGGATACACAAGTTTTTAATATAGTTTAAGAAATATAAAAAAAAAAATATAATGCAGTTATGGCCCTTTGTATGTAGAATATGTCATATGGCAGTTTTCCAGATTTTTTCCCCAAATTGTTGTGGGGTTGATCATTATAATCAAGGGACCTGGTTTTGGGTGAATACATGGGTTTTAGTGACCTGAGAAACTGTGTGATATTTCCTTTGGTCTCTGTAAATATCACCTTAGGGGGTTGATTAATCCTCACCTGGAAACAGGTCAGGGATTATGTAATATCCAGCTCACTTTTAGTAAATTCCTGTAAGATGTTCATTGAACATTTAACCATTCCAATAGAGAAGTCTGTTATTGTTTGTTAATGTTACCAATAGTTGTCATTACTCAGTGATCATTATTTCTCTTAGATCTGTTTAGGAAAACATGACAGTTTAGTTCAGCAATAACATTGACAATTATGCCATCAGATCCCATTTATGTATGTTTAAAATCCTTGTCCCTAGAGTGATACACGAAACTATGTGAGGGATTTGGGGGCAACTTTTCTAGTTTTCCTGTAGTTATTGTTTGAATGCAGAGCAAAATGAATCCACAAAATAAAAGAATTCAAGTCAGTGAGAGCAGGTGTATCAGAATGGTAAAATGTCTCGTATCATGACACTTAAAGAAGTGAAAATAGCATCACTTTACACATTTAACTTTACAGATACAATAAAATTTAACTTCAAAATTTAATTTCAGCTTACCATATTTATTTACTTTGCCAAATTCTGTATCTTACTAAAGTCTTCCATTGTATGGTGGCACTGTTCATTTATGTTAAACTGGATTCTGTAAAATATGTAATGACTGCCTTTTGAATTTCAGTTCCATATAAACTTGTCAGGTAAGTATTTAATTTCTAAAGGTAATTGCCTCAGAATTGAAATAACGAGCAGAAACAATTCATGTCAAATTTTATTTTATTTCAGACAACTTAAATTAAAGATGGCTGAAAATACAGAAAATATGGATACAAGTGAAAATATTGGTCAGGATATTGATGAAACAATTGATGAACTGTCAGAACTAGTAAAGGATGATGCTGTCGTTGGTGATAAAGAAGAAACGAAAGAAGATGAGAACATGGACGATTCCACGGATAAGAAGGAAGAAGATTCCAAAGAAGAAGAGGACTCCAAAGCTGAAGAGAAAGATTCTACAGAGGAGATTGCTAAAAAGAAGAGAAAGAAACCAAATTTCATTGATAAAACACAAAGACCACCATTAGTTAGAGGTAAGAAATACCCAGGCAACCACTGAAAAAGTACAGGTACCACCCTTAGTCAGAGTTAACAGATAACTATTGATAAAGCACAGGTACCACCCTTAGTCAGAGTTAACAGATAACCATTGATAAAGCACAGGTACCACCCTTAGTTAGATATAAATAATAACCATCGCAGATAAAAAAAACCTTAGTGCTTAAAGTATTTACAAATAGCCAAGACTACTAATGTGTAATTAAATGTAGTTCCCTGAACAGAGAAAAATATTTAAAGTTTTGTTCTAATTCAAACTTTTTGTTTTAAGTTGTTCAAGGTGAAGTGATCATTAATAACTTCAAAATGAAAGATGCTAAGATGAAGGATTTCCTGACCATCCTAAGCAAAGCTGATAGCTTTGTCTTTGAGTACAATACTGAAAGCACACAAAGCAGCCAAACAGAGGAAAACAAGAACCAAAGGATTGGGTTTGTATAATCCATACTTTAATTATGTATATATATGTATAACAGAATTGGAAACACTTCTGATTAATAAAACTTGAAGTGTTTTCATATAAAATCTTCAGAAGCTTTGCAAATTTTATTATTTTCTGTATATGTACTGGACACTGCAAATTTTGAATTTCTTATATACTGTTGAAACTTGTCTCAAAATCGTTTATGTTGAAATTCTGTTTTAGTCAAAATAATTTCCAAGTCTCCATTATTTTCCTTCTTCATCTTTGTGATTTTCGTTCGGATGAGTGGAATTTCATTACGTCAAATTGCAGTCGAAGTCGAAGTGCAGTGCTGGAAGTATTTCCAATTGATAGAGTCCATATCTTTGTGTGATTTGTTAAGTCTAGTGCTTGTATAATGTTTTCTATAATAGGAGAAAGATTTCCAGTGTCGCCTTTATCATATGTTTATTCATTCATAGTAAAGTCCTATTAATATGATCTGTCCCCCACAAAAATCAACAATTTTACAGTGGTCCATACTTTACTGTGAATACTTAGACTCTTGTATTCATGCTAAGCTGGTGTAACTAAGTGTTGGGTTTATACACAATTTTGACAGTTATTGTTTTCATGTTTTCTATCGTCATTTATGTTCTGAAATATATTTTGTAATGTTTTAACTTTTAAAAGTACCGGTAACATTAATATCTCTTTGGCCAAATAATCCAATCGTTTTCTGGTTTTATACATTTTCTTGTTTTGTAGAAAGATAACACTGACCTATTCTGCAAAAAAGGATTTCAAAGCTCTTTCAGTTATCAACATTCTGGCAGATCTGGTTGATTTTGATTCTGGTATTGAAATAATAGCACCAGACTCCATAAAGAATGAAGTGGGTAGGTGATTGACTTAGTCATGTTTAATTATTCAGAAAATGAGCTAGACTTCCTGTTCTCCTATGTATATAATATAGCAGGTTCCAATGCTGATTAAGGCAACTAGATTAGGGTATTTTATAAGTGATGCATCATTTTGATAATTCTAGTCCTTTATAAGAAAAAGTCTTGTTTGGCATGAGAAAGTGCAACGACTGCTGTAGACAAGTTTTTCAGTTTAGCATAGTATTAAAGATGAAGACACCTGCTACTTCCATTTGAGAGAAGAATCCTTACAGTTTAACCAGAAAAGAAGTTCCAGTACCATGGAAGTCGACTAATGCTTTGTAGAGAATGTTAGCACAACATTTAAAACACCTACATCTGTACCTACTGCATGATTCATCTTTTTACTTTGCCTTATATTATTGAAAAAAATTATATAGAACGATATGATATTAAAAACTAATTTAAGTTTAGATCATTCTGGAGTTAATTTGATTTTGTTAAAGTGTGTTTTGGATGACAGTTTTTCATATTTTTTTGGAACAGATGCTGAGCTATACGGGATACGAAGACACCTGTTAAGTATGTACATACTGGTATGATATATAGTATAATCAAAGTAGGACGATATCCAACAGTTCCAGATATTCTAGTTCACATCCAGTTTCTTTCTGTTCTAAATACAGGCCTAATACACTAATATTTTACAATGCTAGCTAAATGGTAACAATAGGAACAAACAGGCATAACTAATTCATATTAAATTGATTTATTGCAAAACTATTAGACAAATTAAAGAAGGAATGTGTGAACTACAATTCAGTTTCCAATACTAAATTGTACATCATTCAGTTATCAAATTTATTTTAATCGTGAACAAAAAAAATCTCTTTTGATTGTGCAGTGTAAAACCTTATAATAAAGATTCTCTTTTGATTGTGCAGTGTAAAACCTTATAATAAAGATTCTCTTTTGATTGTGCAGTGTAAAACCTTATAATAAAGATTCTCTTTTGATTGTGCAGTGTAAAACCTTATAATAAAGATTCTCTTTTGATTGTGCAGTGTAAAACCTTATAATAAAGATTCTCTTTTGATTGTGCAGTGTAAAACCTTATAATAAAGATTCTCTTTTGATTGTGCAGTGTAAAACCTTATAATGAAGATTCTCTTTTGATTGTGCAGTGTAAAACCTTATAATAAAGATTCTCTTTTGATTGTGCAGTGTAAAACCTTATAATAAAGATTCTCTTTTGATTGTGCAGTGTAAAACCTTATAATAAAGATTCTCTTTTGATTGTGCAGTGTAAAACCTTATAATAAAACCTTATAATAAAGATTCACAGAATGATTGATTATTTATAATTGAAAAATGATCAACAGTTAAAATCATTTTGGTTACCTATTTATCTGATAGTCCTTCAAGAAATCAGTCCAATTTTTACTTTCAAACTTTACAATATCAATATAAGAATTCTAACATAAACAAATACGTAATTATCTAAATAAAGGAAATGTACAGGTATTTAAAGTATGTACACACAATAAGGAACATCAGAATAATATACTGGAATATAATGATAAAACCAATTAGGGTTTTAATATCAATGAGTTGATCTTGAAATCAGACTTTTCAGTAGAAGACATCTTCATAGGGCTATAGCTAAAAAAATGTTTATAGAAACTGCCATGAAATCACACTTTTCACCACAAGATATGTAGGTAAGGCTAGTTGAAGGATTTCCATGGAAACTGGCATGAACATAACACTTTTCACTTCAAGATATTTAGGTAAGGCTAGCTAAAGGATTTCCACAGAAACTGGCATGAACATCACACTTTTCACCACAAGATATTTAGGTAAGGCTAGCTAAAGGATTTGCACGGAAACTGGCATGAACATCACACTTTTCACCACAAGATTATCTAGGTAAGGCTAGTGAAAGGAATGTCTGCAGAAATTGCCATGGAAGAGGAGGACACCTAAAGGATGCCAGGCACAAATATACAATTACTCAAAACAAAGTGTTAAGGGCGAATATGACCTGAAGATGACATTAAGGTGACTGGAGGTTAGCCTCTGGGTACTCGAGGAAAACTAGAGGAGTCAGTCTCACATGGTGAAAGGTCAAATTTAGAAAAATTGAACTGCAAAGTGTGTTGTGGTGTACAGGAAAGGTCTGTCAAACTAGAAGCTGGTCTGCTTCCTCACATACTATATGTGCCAACGATTACCTACCATTCCCTTGCTGGTGATGTGAATTTCCAGTATGATTAACAAATGCTGTATAGCATTTGTTCAGCAACTGACAGGTAGCATCAATGATGTGTTCATGTGGTGTACACATCTAGATGCCATGTTTTATTTATACAATGTACTTATGATGTGCTCTCACTTCATTCAATTAAAATCTTAACTGTAACGAGAAAAGCAGATTTATCTGTATTTAAGTATTGTAGCATTACTTGTTCTTCTTGATTTCTGATTGAAAGCCGTTTCAGCGGCGCTCAGGATACATTGGAGTGTATTTATCAATATTATATTCTTACAATGCATGTATATAAGCACATGAAAATTGAGCTTTGAATATGTTGAGTATTGTCCAAGTGCATACATGTATGCATTTGATATCACTATGACCAGCTTCAATATAACAGACTTGTATATCACAGTGATATACATGTACCGATGAATAACCGCAGATGATGAACGTCATCTGCTTCTCTGAAGATTTCCCATTTATTGAAAAAAGTTAAAGTTATTTGACTGCAGATAACTTTAATCTGTTTAAATGTGATAAATTGAAGTCAAACTTAATTATCAAGATATGAGGACATCATTCTCAAATATATTGGTTATAATTACCTGAGATTCCGAGCCAACACATGAAAAATGTGACGAAATAAAACAACTGGTCATATTGTCTAGGCAACACCTCTCCAGCCACAGTAACTCGGGTTACTATGGTTACAAACAATTTGTCTATATGGGTAGTTTGTCAATTTCAGGTCAGGCTAAAGATAAAACTTTGTATGTAAACGACATAACAAATGCTACAACCGAAGAGTTCTTACGGGCCTTAGTGCCTGATTGTACCAAAGCTCATATACCTGTAGACTCTGAGGGCAACAAACTTGGGTAAGTATTCCTCCCGGCTGGTGGAAGACCTATCTTACATTGCTTTATTTGCTGATTGATGTGTAATTGATTTACAGACACCTGTGTAGTGTTGCTGATCTCAAGTTGTTCCATCCTACATATTAACCATTGATAATTCAGACCTTTTTTAAACCAATATTTGATCAAATCTGGTAATCAAACATCTCTAATATAATATATAGAAATTGTACTTTGTATTTGGCATATCAGTGATACTTATTTCTTGGAAAAGTTTATAGATCTTTCCCTTCTTCATTAAGTTATGTCAACCAAGGTATTTGAAAAATGTGACATTATTAAGCTTAACTTAACGATTTCATTTCAAAATTTTTGTCCTGCAGGGATCCACTTGGGTTAAATTATTTAAAAGCCAAACCTGAGGATGGGTTTCACAACTTTAGAATTACTTCTTTCTGAAGACTATAAGAAATTAACTCATTTTCATAAAGTTTTCAACATAAACTGTATGAAATATTCATGTCCCATTGAACTGGAACTGTAATAAGGGACCAGATTTGCACTAGCCTATTAGAAAAGACAATTGTTTTTTTATGATATACATGTACATGTACTGTTCTGAGGATGCTTAAAAAGTGTATAGGTCTCATGATAGTAACTGATATAGACATTCTTGAAGTAATTGAAAGGTCTATTACTATGAATATTTAAGTCTTGACATCAATTCTTTATTGTGCCCTAAACGTTTAAACGCTTATGTACTGGTAAAATGGTGTAACCTAGTGATTCAATGCATTTTCAGTTGGGCAGTGCTTGAGTTCAGAAATGGAAAGGAGGCGGATGAGTGTATGAAGACTGTGAAGGAAATTGAGCTTGGGACTGATAACAAGGTTGTTATAAGTCGTGCAGAATCAACTGATCCAGCAGATTTAGAAAGAGGTAAATAATTATATGTAGAAAGGAACAGTAGGAAGTTTAAAACTATTTTGTGTAATGATCTTTAGGTAACCAGTTATGAGTAGCAGTGACCTAATTTCCATCACATCTATGTCAGAATCCATGTTTCTATCAAGCCTTGGCAGATTTTGGGTTCACTTTTTCAAGGTATCTCAAACTGCAGGTCAACTTTCCATATCCCTGCTATTTGGCTATTTATTCAGAGGTGCTGGGCCCAACAGGGGAAGTAGAAATTATCATTGATAAATTCTTCTCCTTTAATGAAGGGATTTTGACCTGATTTTAAGTTGAGCATCGCTTTGTACTGGGGATTCTGTTTACTATGAACAGAAGATCTGGCCAATTTGGGAGAAATGGAGGTAACCCTTCAAAAATCTTCAGTCTTAATAAATTTGATTTAAAGCTGTGTAGGGCATCAATAGGTGAAGGAAAACAAAAGTCAGTTTTGTTTAATGTTGTGATATTTTTTCTTTTTTTTTTACTGTTTTTCTAACCCAGTCACTTGACTATTGCAATAATATGACAACAGTAATTTCGCTATCTCCATACTATGGCTATAGCTTCTATGGCCTCAATAGTCATTCCTAGTGTTATTGTGTTTAAAATATCCCTGATATAATTGGACAAACCCCACAGAGTCCATGGTTTGTAATTGGGGTGAAATCACTCTTTTGATTGGGAACGAATCTGTCTTTGTTCTAGCAAAGGAACTTCACAAGAACAAGCCACCAAAAAGAAAGAAGGCTCCACAGACACCTGCCAAAGATAAAAAACGACAGTGGAACCAAGGACCAGGAATGCTGGGACCTCGACCTCTGATTGGGTCATCACCAAAGGGGGGTAATATGGGCAATTCTGGCAGAGGATGGTCACAGGGAGGAGGTGCATGGGCAGGAGGGGACATGTCAGGATCTGGCCGACAGATGAACTATGACGGTGGATTTGGCAACAGAGGTAATGCAAGAGGGGGCACGGGTAAGCCTAGACCTCATACAGCTGGCAGCAAGGGAAACTATGGAAAGCAGGGGTCATTTGGTGGTAACCAAGGTTATGGAAACCAGGGTTTTGGAAAGCAAGATTTTGGAAACCGCGGTTTTGGAAACCAAGGTATATATATATATTTGTAATATGAGAAATTTTCGAGCTTTATGTTTAAAAATTGTAAATGTTATCTGCCTTAACATCACAAGATATATATTGTGTTAGAATTAGTTTGAAATCTTGTCTCCCTTTATTATCAATCTAAACCTATTGTTTTCAGTCAGTACTCTTCCTTTTGTCTTTGTTAGTTATCTGGAAGATAACCTTGACATATATCCTCTAACACGTGCCACAAGTGAAGCATACATACTTATCCAATGAATCACCTGATGTTGTCTCTAGGTTATATGGGAACGAATGACTTGCCATTTTACTTCATCATTTTCTCATCGTGTTCTTTAGTACAATGTTTTTAATATGATGGGGAAAATATCTGTTTCTGAAAATTCTTTGACTTCTGGTTGATAATTTCATTAGTGCTCAATAGGTTTTGAAAAGAATATAATTTTATATGATGTTAAACCTACACTTTTTCAGATTATGGTTACCAAGGGTATGAGCGTCAAGGAAGATATTCAGAAATGGTAAAGATTTTAGACATTTTTGTGATCTTAAGTAATAAAAGATTCTTGTGAATTAATTTCCAGATTATATTTATCATTTTTCCCAAATACCAGATATGATCAGCCTTTCTTGAATATCTTGGTTATTCCCAGGCATCAACTATAATAAATCAATGATCATGTCTCTCAACAACATAAAATTATTGTCACATGCATATTTGTACATCCATGACAACAATATTGAAACCAAGATGGAAATATCCTGTAGTACAGTGATCGAGGAAAAAAAAATCTGTACATAATTATACAATATGTTTTCATATTTTAGATCTAATTTTAGTTAATTTGACAGTTTATGTAATATGACCTTTATCTTTTTTTCAGCATGACAATTATGGGTAAGTTGTAATTAAGTCTGACCTGTAGTAGTTGTTTGATATTGATGTGCCTTTGGGTATGTTTAAAGTATAACAGTTTTAGGGTAATATGTATGTTAATTTAGGGTAATGTGTATGTTAATTTAGGGTAATATGTATGTTAACTTAGGGTAATATGTATGTTAATTTAGGGTAATGTGTATGGTTAATATGTATGTTAATTTAGGGTAATATGTATGTTAACTTAGGGTAATATGAATGTTAATTTTGAGTTCAAATGCATGCTACTGGTGTATTGATTTGGAAAATGTCAAAAGTTTTACTTTTGATTTTGTATTTTTTAAAGTATGAATCATAAATATAGATAAAAGTCGAAAGTTTTCTTTTGTTTAAAATTATTGAAGTTATACTTTAGGATATCCCAAAAAGATTTTAAATTCCATTATAAAGAATCTGAATGATTTAACCTCTGACAATTTTGGCTAAGATTTTATTGTATTACAGAGATGGGCGGGGGAATATGGATGATGATAACATGCTGGATTTCCTTCAATCTGCAATTATGGAGATGAAAAACAAAAAGAGGTATTCACATTTGATAGACTGAAATTGTATGAAAATGTTGCAGCTTCCAACTGTTGTACTGTCTTCCATTTTCATGGCCTGGAAGCTGATGTCAAACATAAACTTGTATAGGTCAGGGAGATATCTTCACATAAACCTTGATATTTATTTTTGACCTGGCCATTTTTCAATCTCTTCATAAACCTGGGTGTTTAATTTGACTTTATGCAAGCCATGGGGCTATTTCTACCTAAAGCTTGGTATCTAGTTTAACTCTATGCAGACTTGCAGCCATTTCTATTTAACCCTAGTTAACATTTTGAATTTTGAAACCAATGAGGCAACTGAAGAAACAAAAATTGTTTGAAAGAAATGTCAAAATGTAGATAGGGAGGTGCACTAGCCTGTAACTTTCATTCACAATAATGTAAAGTACATGTATTTTTATTTCTTTTTATTTGAATTCTCTGTTTTTGTTGTGATTGGAAGATCAGACAGGTTATTTTCATAATATCACTTATTTATCTAATTTGTATTTTCACTCAATTGCTACAGTGCCAAGATGCAGTCTGGTGGGGATCGATGGGGAGGTGGTGCATATAGCCAATATGAAGGATTTGTAGATAACCCAAAGAGGAGACGAGATAACTGGAGTGATCCATCTGACAGAAACTGGGGATCTGGCAGGAGTAAGTAGTTTGTTCTCTGTAGAGGTAGTATGTTATTATGATGACATATTGTTTAACATAGGTTTGATGACATATTGTTTAACATAGGTTTGGTGACATATTGTTTAACATAGGTTTGATGACATATTGTTTAACATAGGTTTGATGACATATTGTTTAACATAGGTTTGATGACATATTGTTTTAACATAGGTTTGATGACTTCTAACACACACCTAGTTCCATTAGTTGGTATTTGTGTGATCATTATTGTGTGTTATTTCACAGATAATCAGGGAAGCAGGGGACAACAGCAGGGACTTGGAGTATGGACTCAGGGTGGTAATCAGCAGAATAGAAATGATATGGGCCGCAGTGGTGGCAAAAATTACGGAGGTGGTTATGGAGGTAAGGCCAGACCTGAAGTGTTTGTCATGCTTGTTTCCTGTCTAGCTTCGACAAAGACTTTCCAGACATTTATCAACTTCTGCAGGCCCATTCTGATTTATTGCTGAAATGTTAGTTTATTTAATTGTCTGATGAGGATAGGTCAGCATCAGAATTGGGAAACAATATTTGGATATTTGATATCGCTGTTATTTCTGCATCAAATTTTGTCAGCTAAAATATCAAGTGCATTAGAGACGAGACCCTTAACCTGGTAGTTGTACAGCTTTCTTGTGGTAACTGATTTCTTATAATTATTTCACAATGGAAGAGACAGTAAGGCTGATTGATATCAGTTTCTCTGAGACAATATCATATAGAAAGTTTGTTATGTCACCAACAATGTTGAAATTTCTTAATGTTTATGACCTTATTGACTCCTTAGTGAAAAATTCTTGATTTTAATCCTAAACATTTTCATAAAATTTTCTTTCCCAAAATTAGATTCAATATCACTGTCATAAAGATTTTAACTCACAGGACAGCCTGGTACAAAAAAGTGGATTCAGTGTTTATGTTGTCTTATATATAAGGAAATATGTGAGTAATAGTGTGATCATCTTTGTTTTTGAAGTACTGCTAGATCTGCTAGGACTATTTTTAGCCCACCATCATCAGATGTTTTGCTTTTCAAAGTGCCTTACTTCCATGGCCTGTAATCTGTCTGTTAAAAAATATATTTCTATAAGGTTTTTCCTTTGGTCCCAAGTTGTACCTGTTTCATTTTTAGACTGATCAGAAAACCAAAATGCCTGACAAGCTGCCATATTCAATTTTGATTATGAAAGTCTATTATTGCTATTGCTATTTCTTGAAAAGTACAGGATTGCTTTTTCTCAAATGTCATATGCAGGTTCCCTTCAATCCCTAGGTGTGCCCTTCATATGTTCGGAGAGTAATTAGCGAAAAATGTTTGACAGGTAGTCATCTTAGTGTTAGACTATGTAAGATCGTGTTTGCTATTTCTTAAGAAGTTACCGATTAATCTTTCTAAAATTATGTGTAAGTTCCCCTTGGTACCTTATTTCGCTGATTTTAAGACGCATCAAAAAACAAAATTCCTGACAGGCATCTGTCTGCGATTTTCACAGTGAAAGGTTGTTATCAGTATTTCTGAAGGAGATTTTTCAAAGTTTTCAAATTTCATATGATAAAGAGCAAAACAGAGGTATGTAGAGAAAAGTAATGAAAAGATCCAATAAATATCAAACAATGGTGGGCATCATGATATTTCTGGGATGTCAGTCACGATTTCGACATCTTATGAGGAACCTAAAACAGTTGACAGAGAGGAATTGACCATAATTCTAACAGCTTTACAAACTTTCATTTGTAATAACCAACCAGGAATGTTCCTCACATGATACAAAATGGTTCAGTTATTTTGTTAAGGTTGGATTGAAAATCCAGCGATGACCACCATCTTTAGAACATGTTTTTAACCTTCTACAACTAGATGGAAATCACCAGGAAAGTCAAGAAAACTTCAAATTCTACCATTCTGATAAATCTTAAGTACTATGGCCCTCGGAAGGTTCTGGAACAGGATTCATCAGATTAGATATAAAGATTTTCTGTGCAGTTTTTTTCTGGTTATAAATTTAGGTATAGCAAACCAACATACAAATGCAGACACAGTTTGTATCACCTTGAATTTTGTTGAACAAGCTTTAATTCCATGAAGTCATATAATACCTTTGTATGCTGTCATTGAATCTTTGTTCTGTTGTAGGTGGACAATATGATTCATACAGCTCATATGGTGGACGCTATTGAGCATCATTCTAACCTGGACACCAGTGAGACAATTGTGGAGACCGGCACATGTCATACCGTTGAGGCTATTAAGTACCTTGGTGGACTCTGTGTAGCTGTTATTATTGTGATCAAGACTATCAACAACTTATCAGCATAAGTTGTTGTTTATATCAGACTTTATCAGTGTTGTAAAGTGTTGGATGTTACATCTTTTTCCTTATCGTCTTATCTTGTCATTTTTTGGACTCTTAGTAAGTCCAACAGCATTTCATCTGTTGTTTTCATGATTGTGATTTGTTATCCCAGGATATTAAGTTGATTGTCATGTAAATATTCAGTTGTTAATTTCAGTAAAAAAATGAGATTTTCATTTGTTTAGGATCATTCTCATGATGATCACTGATTTATGATGTATTTATCATCATTCAAATTATGAATAAAATTCAGTGTACAAAACTTCAGTTATTTTTAGCTTAGTAAGTATAATGTGCCTGTGAAGTTTTGGTACATGCAGCATCTGTTGCAGTAACTTTGTGTGCACTCGAATTTAAGCCCACCTTCATCAGATGGTGAGCTGGTCAAATTGCCTTCCACCTTCATCAGATGGTGAGCTTGTCAAATTGCCTCCCTCCTTCATCAGATGGTGAGTTGGTCAAATTGCCTCCCACCTTCATCAGATGGTGAGCTGGTCAAATTGCCTCCCTCCTTCATCAGATGGTGAGTTGGTCAAATTGCCTCCCACCTTCATCAGATGGTGAGCTGGTCAGATTGCCTCCCACCTTCATCAGATGGTGAGCTGGTCAAATTGCCTTCCACCTTCATCAGATGGTGAGCTGGTCAAATTGCCTCCCACCTTCATCAGATGTTGAGCTGGTCAAATTGCCTCCCACCTTCATCAGATGGTGAGCTGGTCAAATTGCCTTCCACCTTCATCAGATGGTGAGCTGGTCAAATTGCCTCCCACCTTCATCAGATGTTGAGCTGGTCAAATTGCCTCCCACCTTCATCAGATGGTGAGCTGATCAGATTGCCTCCCACCTTCATCAGATGGTGAGCTGGTCAGATTGCCTCCCATCTTCATCAGATGGTGAACTGGCTCATGTTCAAGTTCAAGTTCTACCTGTGGGATTGAGCTCAGACTTGCGTGAAATGATCCTAAGATGGTCCTGACCAAGTGTTGTTATTTTTTGGGTATGTCTGAAATCTAAGATGGCCACCATCTTAAAAAACATATTTTTCACTTCTCCAGTTCCACTGGTGCGATTGAGCTAAAACTTGGTGGGAATGTTAAGGAAAGATAGTCAACTAAGTGTTGTTATTTCTAGCCCTTGTCAAAACTTTGATATGGCAGCCAGGGAGGCCATTTTGTAACATGATCGCGCAATCATGTTTTTTTCTGTGCAAAACCAATTTCAAACTTCTTCTCAAGTTTTACCATTGGATTGAGCTCCAACTTTACTGTCAAAAAAAAGGTATCACTTGTAACAGTTACCTACTCCTCACCAAAGCTACCATGTGCATCATGGAATCAGCTTCTTAGTAAGATTTCATTCAAAGAAGAAAAAAGGACCCTACTCCCTACTGAAAGTTTTTGTAGTCAGATGACTGTTTCATCTGTAACTTCAGAAAAATAAAGATCAGTTTTCCTGATCCATATACAAATATAAGGTTATTCATATGTCCCCAAAGTCAAATAAAATAGAGCTGTCCCCCTCACATGCAAACAAAAAGAGTCTCTTCTTCAATAAAAGGGAGTCCTTTATCACCATAGACAACGGAGAGCTCACTTGGAAAAAGACCACTCACATACTCAAAAGTTTTGTTCAAAGATAAACTCACTACACTGATATGTAGTGACTAAAGACTGAAAAGGAAAGCAATCTAGTGACAAGATATTGGTAAAGGAAAGCTCCTCAATGACCTCAGATTGATCAAGGAAAGCACACCAGTGACCTCAGACTGATAAAGAAAAGCACACCAGTGACCTCAGACTGATCAAGGAAAGCACACCAGTGACCTCAGATTGATCAAGGAAAGCACACCAGTGACCTCAGACTGATAAAGAAAAGCACACCAGTGACCTCAGACTGATCAAGGAAAGCACACCAGTGACCTCAGATTGATCAAGGAAAGCACACCAGTGACCTCAGACTGATAAAGAAAAGCACACCAGTGACCTCAGACTGATAAAGAAAAGCACACCAGTGACCTCAGATTGATCAAGGAAAGCACACCAGTGACCTCAGACTGATAAAGAAAAGCACACCAGTGACCTCAGACTGATCAAGGAAAGCACACCAGTGACCTCAGACTGATAAAGTAAAGCACACCAGTGACCTCAGACTGATCAAGGAAAGCACACCAGTGACCTCAGACTGATAAAGGAAAGCACACCAGTGACCTCAGACTGATAAAGGAAAGCACACCAGTGACCTCAGACTGATCAAGGAAAGCACACCAGTGACCTCAGACTGATCAAGGAAAGCACACCACTGACCTCAGACTGATCAAGGAAAGCACACACACCAGTGACCTCAGACTGATCAAGGAAAGCACACCACTGACCTCAGACTGATAAAGTAAAGCACACCTGTGACCTCAGACTGATAAAGGAAAGCACACCTGTGACCTCAGATTGATCAAGGAAAGCACACCACTGACCTCAGACTGATAAAGGAAAGCACACCATTTACATCAGATCTATAAAGGAAAGCACACCAGTGACCTCATACTGATCAAGGAAAGCACACCACTGAGCTCGGACTGATCAAGGAAAACACACCTGTGACCTCAGACTGATAAAGTAAAGCACACCTGTGACCTCAGACTGATAAAGGAAAGCACACCATTTACATCAGATCTATAAAGGAAAGCACACCAGTGACCTCATACTGATCAAGGAAAGCACACCAGTGACCTCATACTGATCAAGGAAAGCACACCAGTGACCTCAGACTGATCAAGGAAAGCACACCACTGACCTCAGACTGATCAAGGAAAGCACACCACTGAGCTCAGACTGATCAAGGAAAGCACACCACTGACCTCAGACTGATAAAGTAAAGCACACCTGTGACCTCAGACTGATAAAGGAAAGCACACCATTTACATCAGATCTATAAAGGAAAGCACACCAGTGACCTCATACTGATCAAGGAAAGCACACCACTGACCTCAGACTGATCAAGGAAAGCACACCAGTGACCTCAGACTGATAAAGTAAAGCACACCACTGACCTCAGATTGATCAAGGAAAGCACACCACTGACCTCAGACTGATAAAGAAAAGCACACCAGTGACCTCAGATTGATCAAGGAAAGCACACCAGTGACCTCAGACTGATAAAGAAAAGCACACCAGTGACCTCAGACTGATCAAGGAAAGCACACCAGTGACCTCAGACTGATAAAGTAAAGCACACCAGTGACCTCAGACTGATCAAGGAAAGCACACCAGTGACCTCAGACTGATCACACCAGGAAATCAAGCACACCACTGACCTCAGACACACCACTGATAAAGGAAAGCACACACAGTGGACACACCAGTCAGATCTGATCAAGGAAAGCACACCAGTGACCTCAGACTGATAAAGGAAAGCACACCAGTGACCTCAGACTGATAAAGGAAAGCACACCATTTACATCAGATCTATAAAGGAAAGCACACACCAGTGACCACACCAGTGACCTTAGATGGTAAAGGAAAGCACACCACTGACCTCAGTGATCCACACCACTTAGACTGATCAAGTAAGAGGAAAGCACACCAGTGACCTCAGACTGATCAAGGAAAGCACACCACTGACCTCAGACTGATCAAGGAAAACACACCTGTGACCTCAGACTGATCAAGGAAAGCACACCAGTGACCTCAGACTGATCAAGGAAAGCACACAAGTGACCTCAGACTGAAAAAGGAAAGCTCACAAATGACCTTGGACAGATAATTAGGAGCTCAGCAATGATCTCAGGATGATAAGATCCTAGATGACAAATCACATCGGTGACCTGAGATTGCAAGAAGAAAGCTCTTTTTGTTAATTTGAACAGCAAATTGCCATTGAGGCAAAAGTTAAAAGTACATAATCAAAATTCAGGGCTATATTTTGAAATGTTATTTATGAACAAATGACATTTATAAAAAGTTCACCAAGATGATTATTAATGTTAAGTGATCTATGTTGGTCACCGATACTCAAGGTTGAGAGTGGATGTTTTTTTTACCTCCAATTTCTGTTAGAGTCAGCTGCATTTGTTGTTTACAAACAACAGACCACACAGCTGGAACACAGCTGACGATATATTTTAATGCTTGAAGGATGAAAAAAAGAAAAAAAAATGAAAAAATAATCCTGGCAGCGGTGGGATTCGAACCCACGCCTCAGAGAGACTGGTGCCTAAAACCAGCGCCTTAGACCACTCGGCCACGCTACCTCCTATTACATTAATGGGAAATTAAAAATATTATCAATATTTTTATAGATCTTATCAGGCACACATATAAGAAACTTTTGGAGATGTCTGATACTTAGATAGCAATTGAAGATTACACATTAATTAGACTCCTGCAAATACGGTGTTATGTTTGGAATATCATTATTTATCAAGTCATTTTCTTCTTCGGAATAAATTCGTCGGAAGGCATCGGATGTTTTCATACAAAGTAGGCCTATATTGTGGTAAACAACAAACGTGACCTCATGAAACTTATCGAGTCAAGGCTCTTTCCACATTAGCAGCAAGAAAACAACGTTGCTTGACGCTGTCGCAGACGAGCGAGCGCTCTGGCATTTGTAAGCATCAGGTAGGAATTTGTCTGCGCTGAAATAGAGCAATGCAGTGTCATGCATTGGTGTTTAATAGGTGTGTCAAGGCATGTAAACAAGTTCGTGGTGTCCCAGGAAAGGATTTTTGAGCTAAATTATGTTTACTTATGTTATATGAAACTGAATAACGTTACGTACATGTCCCCTAATAGCAGTGGACTCCTAGACGGTTTGAAAGTTTTGAAAAAAATGATAATTCTAGCAACCTACCAATGAATGTTGAATAGTCTGGGCCTAGTTTACTCTGTGGGCTTTGGAAGCATAGTCTGGGCCTAGCTTACTCTGTGGGCTTTGGAAGCTGAAATAGCACACGGGAATCGGGACGTATGAAGAAGGGGGATTGATGACTGCACAGCTTTGGGACAAAAAATATTTAACTAAGAACACAGATGAACCTCCATTTAGCACTGCTTTAAGTCCATTCATTATATGTTCCCTGTCTATAGTGTCAATAATAAAAGTTTTGAATACATGTAAATCAAATGATGTGTAACAGCACAACAGGAAAGAGGATGTTCAACTTTATAAGCTACATATGCACTGTTTTTGTGTTTTGACTGATGTAATTATATAATCTAATTGGTGTAGGTCTGAAATTTAAAGCAGCACAATATCAATATGACACCTGACAACGCCTTTACGAGAATCCAATTTTCTTTCTCAATTGTTTATGCAGTTTTATCACACAGGTCTCCCAATTTATTTTCAGGTCAGACAACAATTTGAAGATGCATAAATTCAAATTGCTTTGGGGTATTCCCTGTGATAATCAACTATTCTGCTGATAATTAGAAAGAGATTACACTGGAACAATTATCAGAGTGAATTAAAACAGTGGATTGAATGATCACAAGGTTGGTTAATATCAGGATAAAACAGATTACAACATTTCCAATAGATTAAAGTTTATAAGGGAGCACAGCTATCTGTATATCAAGATGTCGACGAAAAGTTCAGAAACCTATGACAGTGATGATGATTGGGACATGCAGTTGTATCCTGAAATCTGTCAAGTTTCCAGTACTGATGATGACACCGGAGCAGATGCTTCAGATGAACGGGAAGACACGGAAAGTGATAGTGAAGCACCTGCCATGCCTCCACTAATGTCACTCAGACAAAGAAGATTGAGTAAATCTGTTGCTTTAGCATCGCTGAATACTCTTCAAACCAGTTCAGGTGCATTGAAATTAAACATTAACACTGCAAGTGCACGAGCAAGATTCAATTGGGCGTTGGCAATTAAGAAGGCAAAATTGTTAAATGACCCATGGAAAGCTTTTCATATTGAAGACATTGATTCTGAAATTTGCATCCGACATCGTTACAACCCACACAAGAAAACTTGGTTGACAGATGAAGTAAAAGTCAAGATGGAATCAAAGGTAATGAAAAAGTAATTTATAAACTATTGCTTCTAATCCTTATTTTGTTTTTTGTCCTTTTTTTTTACAATTAAGTGTAAACAAATAACCGTGAAAGGAGAATGAGACATTTACATATATAGATGGGAATTTTGAATATTCGTGTTGTTTTCGTAAAAATCAGAGGAGATTGATAATTTGTTCCTCTTTGTTTTCAGTCCTTTAACAGAGGAGCAATGAGAAAATGTTACCGTCTGTAAGTATTACATTTACATATATCCAGTAAGGAGATGTCAAGGTTGTGAAAATGTTCCTTTAATCCCTGTGGACTACCCATTGTTAATAAGTCTCTTTAATACCAGGATCAGCCACAGAAGTCTGTGGATTGAATGAACAGACATCAATGATTAAGCTGTATTTCCTGTATACTGATCACATCATACTAATTATTGAAGTAACCCATACTCCATACTTTGATGGTTTGATTAAGTATCTGTCTATATAGTTACATTTGGTGTAAAAGGCATGGGCAGTTCATGTGCAGAAAGGGTTTGTTCTATTGAGACACGTGGTGGATGCTGAACTTGACCTACATTTTATAATTCAGTAACTATGTTATGCATCAGCTGTATTTGAGTAACTGTCTTGCATGATGATCATTGGTAGGATACAGCTCTGCTTCACAATATTTGTTGTCAATGCCAAAATCAACATTGATATACATTTCACACTGTTGACACTAAAACATTTAGGTTCGTGTTAAATGAAATTGCTCTACTGATTAAATTTGCTTCAAAGGAGCAGCTGTCAGTGTTGTTCTAGTACATGCAACATAGCATGTTGCAGAAGGTGATATTTATCAATGTTTCATGTGACGTGGATAGTTTATTACACCTTGGTATCAGTGACCTGGTTAACTCAGCACCACATTAAAACAACATCAGTGAAAACCTGGAATTAATTAAAATACTGATACTACTGTATTAATGTTAAGTTGTTTTGATACTGCCATAACACGACTTGACACAGCCATTCACTATTTATATTATATACTACTAATCTGAGACATCTGACTGGGTTTGTATGTCCAATGGGGATATCAATACCACAGGGACCTGTAACAATGTTCCTGGGGAGTGAAAACTAGTTATAGTATACCATATAAGCCCTGATCTCCCAGAAATATTGTAACAGGCCCCTGTGATAGTATACTATATAAGCCCTGATCTCTCAGAAACATTGTGACAGGCCCCTGTGATAATATACCATACAAGCACTGATCTCTCAGAAACATTGTGACAGGCCCCTGTGATAGTATACTATATAAGCCCTGATCTCTCAGAAACATTGTAACAGGCCCCTGTGATAGTATACTATATAAGCCCTGATCTCTCAGAAACATTGTGACAGGCCCCTGTGATAATATACCATACAAGTACTGATCTCTCAGAAACATTGTGACAGGCCCCTGTGATAATATACCATACAAGTACTGATCTCTCAGAAACATTGTGACAGGCCCCTGTGATAATATACCATACAAGTACTGATCTCTCAGAAACATTGTGACAGGCCCCTGTGATGGACATGGTAAGGTTATACATGTAGTGGAGATTTTGTGGTTTACAGAAACAGGGTAAACAATTTGATTTCAGTAAATAACAAAAAAATTACATCAGTTTAACTATTTTTTAAGATATAGTTACAAATATATTGTTGTACTTGTGTCAACACAGGTTATAGGGTGTATTGATTGTGGAGGGGAGGTGTTTGTTTGATGTGACAGTTCTTGGTTTTGGGAATTTGTTTGGCGCTTGAGCAAGCCAAAACAAACCTAGTGGTGAATGTAGTGTAGCTGTCTGCTTAGATGGAGTATCTTGTCTCTCAATGATACAGTTTTTTAGTACTTTGTATCCATAATAGTCCATACTTGGGTCCTTTGTATTAAAGCTAGCACACGGAATCTTGTTTCCTTGTCTGTTTCTTTTTGTATTTCTCTTTGGTAGACCTATGGTTTCGCTGTAAATTAAATTAAATTCAAATGTTGGAGTTAATTATACAATTGTGTAAAATCTTTGCCTAATAAGCAGAGCTTTTTCTAGGGGTTCTTTGGGGCTGTATATGGGTTCCATTCCCAGTTGGATTTATTTCAAAATGTGACCAAATTCCCTTATGTTTTACTTCTAAAACTTGTATTACCAATAGGCTTTATTTCCAAATTGAAATTAAAACAGGCTTTCCCAGATAAGTGGGGATAAGCCCTGATGTTTACCTGATGTAACACTTGTAGTGCTCTAACATGTTCCAACAGAGCTACCAGGATTACAACATGAAAGCATCTAAAATAGCTTACTGAAATATCTAGTGATAGATTTGAACAGCTAGCATTAAAATACTGTTTTCTAAATCCTACACATTTTTATCACTTTGCCGTACTTTTATACAATTAAAGATGTTGTGTTGACATAATTAAAATAATCTTAATTAGTATTAATGGAGTCGATTCTCTGTGTACACGTGTCTGGCTATATTATTGTTGATCTTACATGGAGGTAGGTGACCTACATGACCCAGTTCAGAGACACTTGACCTTTGTTGTAAACAAGCTGATGGCAGAGCTCTGGATGGCCCAGTTACCTGTCCCAGGGATCGATCTTGTTTATAAACAGATGTAATTGTTGAAGGGTAAATATTTTTAGAAATGTCAAGTAAGTTTTATTGTACTTTAGTCAGTTGTGTTACTGTTGGGTGATTACACGTATGGAGGAGACTAGCTGTAAATCATATATATATCCCCACAAGTAAACAAGGAAAGCAATTATATGAAAATTGCTGAATTTTTCACACTGCATTAATTATGTTTTATTACTGTTGTGTATTATAATAAATCGGCTATTGTTTCTATCATCAAACCCTTGTAATTGTCTTATTATTCCTTGTATTGGAAGACATAATTAATATGATGTCATATTTTCATGTATATAAAAAATCAATGGTTATTTGATATTGATAGATTTACCACCAGAAACATGTTTACATAGGTTGACATATGGGGTGATATATACACATGGTGCAGACACAGTCACCTCCCATGTGATGACTAAAAGTCATGTGGATGATGCATATGTTTTAAATAAAAACACGGGCTTTAGGTACATTGTAGAGAGAAGTTAACATTAATGATTTTTTACGGCTGAGTGCAAGCAGGGCTTTTCTCTGAAGGCTTTGTGGGGCCATATGTGGGCCCCATTCCCAGCTGGATTTATTTCGAAATATTTTCCTGAAATCCTGAAATATATTATTTATTTCTTAAAAGTTTACTTCTCAACTGATAATTTTCTCCAAAATTAGGATAAAAATTTTCAAATGAGTGGAAAAAAAGCCTTGTGAAAGTAAACTTGATAAACTTTATTTTACAACAACTGTGAAACACTGTTTATGCATGAATGGCCAAGGTTGTAGTGATATATGTAGGTTTTCTTGACAATGTTACACTTCTTCAGAAATAAGAGAAAATCTGTATAGTTAGTTAGGCTTACTTTTCACATCTGATTTTAGGAATTGAACCGTCGTTGCCTCTCAGATCTGAAACTACTCAATTTGTAAATGTGTTACCGTAGCAGTCATGTTTCTCTCTAGCTTTAGAATCATATATATATATATCGTATGATCCTCACACAGCTGTTAGACGGTTGTGAAAATTGAAGAGATTATCAAGCTGAAAAAAAAATATTAACCTGGATCAGGATATAATAGCAGGAGTCTGCCACCCTTTTTGTCTGATAGTATCTCCTGCTCAGTCAGTAGTGCAAGACTTTCTAGTGATTTCATTTGTGATAGGCTGGGTCATGTCGGCTAGCACTGTGTGTCATGCTTCGTTACAAACATCGGCTAATGTAGTATATAATCTGTAGAATATAGGATAAAGGACGGGAATGATATTTGTCATTTAAATTCTATTTTTCTTTGTGCTACACTTGGTGTAATAATTTCAATACAGTTTCTGCGTCTTTTACATAATTAACTTTTAAATTAAGTTTTAATTTAATTAGTTTGTCTGCAGCCCTGACTGAAGGGTTGGACCAAATTTATTGTGACTGCAGTATTCCTAGCATCAGTTACTCCATGTTTTCTTGATAACACAACTTTCATCTCTATAATACCAGATTGGATCTAGATACATAGGAGCCATAGTGCTAATGATTTTACTAATTGAGACTGAAGTATTTTCAGTATTTCATGTTTCTGTTTTTAATTTTGTATTAGATTGAATTTTTAAAATCAGCTTAGATAAATGTATACTGATACTGTTAAACAATATTGTATGGTTAAATGTGTACCCATACTCTCAAACAGTTTAGATCACTACATCTCATTCTCTGTTAGATATTTGTACAGATAGAGATGTTGTTAATTTAACTGCTTATTAACCAGTGAATAAGAAAGTGTTTACCATTCAAATTGTATTTGCTGTGAGGTAGGAAACTTGCAGTTGTTTACCATTATTCATTTGAGGTCACTTTCACAGTCGAGTATGTACCTGTACACAACAAGGTGTTCAGGACGTAGGCATATATAGGGCACATGATATGTGACACCAGATGTGTTGAGCTCAGTCAGATGTGTAAACAGGGATAGCTATATGTTTATAATTAATAAGAGTACAGGCAAACATCAGCACTTTATCTATCTGTTGAAAAAAGTAAACATCTATGAATCAAAACACACAGACAGAGCTATTCTGATATATCTGTTTTTTCAGTGTAGTATCAATACACACAGACAGAGCTATTCTGATATATCTGTTTTTTCAGTGTAGTATCAATACACACAGACAGAGCTATACTGATATATCTGTTTTTTCAGTGTAGTATCAATACAATAGCGCTATTCTGATATATCTGTTTTTTCAGTGTAGTATCAATATAGACAGAGCTATTCTGATATATCTGTTTTTTCAGTGTAGAATCGATATCGACAGAGCCATTCTGATATATCTGTTTTTTCAGTGTAGAATCAATACACACTATTCTGATATATATGTTTTTTCAGTGTAGTATCAATACACATATATTCTGATATATCTGTTTTTTCAGTGTATTCTGATATATATGTTTTTTCAGTGTAGTATCAATACACACAGACAGAGCTATTCTGATATATATGTTTTTTCAGTGTAGTATCAATACACACAGACAGCTATTCTGATATATATGTTTTTTCAGTGTAGTATCACATATATATATATGTTTTTTC